TTTAATTTAGTCATTCATTTTTTATTGATTTATTTATTCAATATTTAAATGCTTAAATCTTCTTTTAAGAAAATTTACTTTGTATTCTTATTTGGAACGTGTTGCAGAAGCTTCTGTCGTAAAGAATGTTTATCACTAGATACATCAAGTATATGCGCGCCTGTGTATGTATGTGTGTGTGTGTGTGTGTGTGTGTGTATGTGTGTGTTTGTGTGTGTGTGTGCGCGCGCCTGTGTTTGTTGTGAAGTAAACGAATAAAATAAATGAAATGAAATAAAATTTATCCGACTTCTTTTCAATTAAAAAGCACGTCTCTTAAGATCAAAAAATCTTTCAAACAATTTTTTGTTTGTATGTGTATGTTTGTTTGTATATGTATGTTTGTATGTGTATGCTTTTTTACCCATGTATGTACACAGTACAGCAACACAAACAGTCGGCTACATACATTTTCACACTAAAATTCGGTGCTATATTTATATTTCTCTTTGTATCCATGTTTAAAAAATTTTTTAAATTAATTTTTTCCCCGCTATGTTAACTGCCGCCAGCCAATGAATTGAATGTGCGTTAAATAGTCTTGAATTATTTAGTGGAGCACGTATTTTTGGCATCATCATCATCATTAATAGAAACATAATCATTATCATCATCGTCGTCATCATCATCATCATTCATCACATAGCTCTCTGGTATAGATATGTTGTAATTTTTATATTTTAGTCATCACCATCATCGTCAGCATCAAATCATCATCATTATCATCATCATCATCATTATTCATCATATTCCTTATCACCACAACCATCATCACCACACCACCACCACCACCATCATCATCATCATCATCGTCATCAACATCATCATCTTCATCATCATCATCGTCATCATCGTGATGACTTAATGGTCGAACGCGGCGAACATTTTAGTTTATATATCGCCATTGAAGTGGATGTGATAACGTCCGCTATGCAATTATGCAGCCTTCAGAATAACGAAATGTTGTTCTCCTCAATAAGACTACTACTACCCAATATTTGGTTTTGGTTTTATCTTTACCTTTATCTCTTGTAATGTCATATAACATTTCAAATATCAACTTAGAGATTTGTGTCATTTTTTTCATTCATTCGTTCATCCATTCGTCCATCTATCCATCCAGCCATCCAGCCATTTATCTATCCATTAAAATTCTCTCCAGACGAGATAGCAGTTGTCGATAGAAATTGCACAGCATCAGCAGCAGCAGTAGTAGCAACAGCAGCGACTGCAGCCACAACATCAACGACGCCAGCTTGTCAAGCAGCTGCTAAAAGAAAACACAGCTGGCATAGATTGGCTCTGTATGAGGTAGAATATAACATCAACTACATTACATTACATTACGTTATATTGATTACATTTCACTATTTACGTTGCTTATTAAGTTTTACTTGATCCCACTACACATTAAAATACTGCATTACAATTCGTCGCATTGAATTACATTAATCACATTAACCGACTTCACTTCCTGATGTAATAATATCACCTCATAATATAAGAACATCAATTCATACTGTAATAACATTACCTTATAGAGTAACAGCCTCTTTAATTAGTGTAATGACATCAACTTCAAATGACATCAACTTCAAATGACATCAGCATCGTGACATTACCATTTTCTACGCCAGGCAGACGCCGAGTATGCTCCGTTCGTCTCGCGCGTCATCAGCAAGCTAGCCAATTACGAAGGGGGCGTTCTACCGAACCCCGGAGCCAGAAACCAAACCGACGATGACGTCATCGAAGACGTCCACGGTGTCGATGACGATGGCGACATGGGCGGTAGTGGCCGCGGTAGCGGGGGTAAAAATCGTCGAGCGAGTGCTGATGATGATGTCGGAGGCTCAAAAGCTGACACCTCCGTAATGATAGACGGGCTGAAGAAGAAGGTGATGATTAAGAAAATAAAGAAGAGAAAGTCTTGTACGAAGAAAAATTCTGCTAAAAATAATAAGGTAATTAAGATACGTTGAAAATGGATTTTATAAATATTAAAATATCGTTTAACACTCACCTATTCATCGTCATTATTCAAATGACATTCCTCCATTCTATTTTGTCATATTCTATTTCAAATATGACTTTTATCTGTATAACGGGTTTTTAACACATCGTCAAATTCATCATAACCATATGAACACACAATTATTGACATTCCTGTATGGCTATAACTTTTTAATATCTGGAACCTTTTTGAATTATTTAAAACCTTTAAAAATATTTTGAAACTTTCGCAATATTTATAACTTCCTAACATTGCACTAAGTTTAAATCTTTTGAAATCAGCTTGTGGCATCTCGTGAAATACCGCGATAAATTTAGACATATTTGCACGAACTCAAGAAAGTACCCACTCATCTTCCGGATACAACAATAGGTGCAATCCCAGTACAAATTGTTATAAATATACAGAACCGGGTGTGTATTTGTTAAAAATACCGTACACGTATGTGTGTGTACTACACAGTGGAAATGAGAATTTATTTTACAAAATTTATACACGCTGTTGTGTTTTGTATTTTATACCTTTGTCATGCAAATGCAAAAGATGTGAGGAGGTTGCAATTAGCATCGTTTCGCTAGGAATCGTTAGGAGAAGTTTTCGCAACATCATTGTCGTAGTCATCATCATCATCCTCTGATGATGACGTCATTATCATCATCTTCTGATGATGATGTCATTATCATAATCCTCACCCTCATCATCGTGGTCATCACCATTAGCATTGTTTATCATCACTCTTGCTGCTTTGTCATCATAATCGTTGTTATCACCAACCATCATCATCATAAATTTATCAACCATTGCTAATGTATCATTATCATATCATCATCGTCGTCGTCATCATCGTCGTCATCATGACGACGCGAATAACAGAGAGTTGATTTATTCTGGCCACGGACATTAGAGTTCTAGTTGGGCACATGGATGCATAATTTATCGCTACCTATATTTTTTTTACTTCTCTCTCTCTCTCTCTCTCTCTCGCTTTCTTTAATTTATTATTATTTGGTTATCATTTTTCGTTTTTATGTTTCCCTCCCTTTATTCTTTATCTCTCTCTCTCTCTCCCTTTCTCCATCTCTCTCTCTCTCTCTTTCTTTTCTCACGAACAAAACTTTCGCTTCGTTACTTAGTTTTTCTCTATCGCGTGTCATTTTTCTTTTCTTTGTTTTTTGTTTTTCAGAAATTTTGTTGCTGGTCGTTTGTCGTCTGATATAAAAACAAAATACAAACAAATACAAAAAATACAAAAAAATAGGATACATACAAATTGTAAAACTAGGAAAACAAATGCTATGTGACGTGGAAAATTTAAATGTGAACAAATATTTGTAGATGTGAATGTAGATTAATGTTTGCGGTTGTTTATGTATGCCTGCGTGTGTGTATGTATGTATGTGTGTGTATGTTTGTATGTGTGTGTGTCTGTGTGTGTCTGTGTCTTAGTGTGTATGTATGGACACGCGCGCGCGCGTGTGTGTGTACGTGTATGTGTAGGTATTTGTAAATTTCAAAAGAAGGAAATAAGATATTTATTCCAATTTACTTAATGTAGTAGCAATTATGTGGGATTAAATTTGTTCAAATGTTTTCATCGCGCTGTCAGTTAATTCAATTTAATTGGAAGCAAATGTACCATCGGAAAAATACTAGATATGTTTATCTTTCATGATTTTATTTTAAAATTTCATCAACTTTCAGAACTTTGATTCGAGTCCAAACAAAAAAAAATCTGAAAAATTTAAACCGGAAATGGATGCAATTCATTATGGAAGCTGTTTTGAGATGTGAGCTTGCGCATGTGCACGTTGTACAGGAAATTGCGCGAACTTGTACAAACGGAGCGTGTTTTTATGGTTTCTGGCGGGTTTGCTTAGGCAGATTAATCGTCATCATCATAATAATAACATCAACATCATCGTCGTCATCATCATTGTCATCATCCATCATCGTTAACCTCAATACAGAAGACCGTCATATGTGGTCGTTATGACGTAATCGGCGTCATCATCATCGTCACCATCATCATTCGTTCATCTATTCATTCGTTCATTCATTTATTCATTCGTTCATTCGTTCATTTGTTCATTCATTCATTCATTCATCATTTCATCATCATTATTTCATCATCATTTCATCATCGTAATCGGCATCTAATTTAATAGTTTGTTGCCTTTTAAGGAGCAAAATACTAAGTCCATGTACAAGAATCTTTCTTAGATGATATAAATAAAAACGAAATGAAAATAATAATAATAAACAACAATAATAATAATAAATACAGATTATATTTGCAAATTATAATTACAAATAATAATAATGAAATAATATTATTCTTTGCATGGTAGGTAAACAGGTTTGATATTTAATGAAAGGGTTGCCCAGAATGCTTTTTCTGACTTCAACACATATTCAAATGCTGTTTAACTATTTTTAAAGAGTTTTGATTCGATTGTATCATTCATTCACTCATTCGTTTATTCATTTATTCATTCATTTATTAAATCATTCATTCATTCAGTCAGTCATCGATTTATCCTTCTGTCAATTCGACCACTCATTCATCATTGCTACTACCCAATTCATCTATTCATCTATTCATTCATTCGTTCATTCATTGGTTCATTTATTTATTTATTCATTCGTTCATTCATTCATTCATTCATTCATTCATTCGTTCGTTCGTTCGTTCGTTCGTTCGTTCGATCATTCATTCACTCACTCACTCACTCACTCACTCACTCACTCACTCACTCACTCACTCACTCACTCACTCACTCACTCACTCACTCACTCACTCACTCACTCACTCACTCACTCATTCATTCATTCATCCACTCATCATTCATTCATTCATTCATCCACTCATCATTCATTCATTCATTCATTCATTCAACCACTCATCATTCATTCATTCATTGGATTGTAGTAATCATTGTAACAACAGCCCGCACAGAAACTCGGTACCATGTTGGGCGTGTTCTTGCCGTGTGTGCAAAACATCTTCGGGGTGATCCTCTTCATAAGGATGGTGTGGATCGTGGGGACTGCAGGCTGGCTACAGGCCTTCGTCCTCGTTTCTATGTGTTGTTGTTGTGTTAGTAGTTGTTGCTTATGCTGTTTTGTTGTTGTTGTTGTGTGGGTTTTGTTGCTGTTGTTGTTGTTAGTGTCGTTGTTGTTGCAGTTGCAGTTCGTTCATTCGTTCATTTGGTCATTCATTCATTCATTCATTCATTCATTCATTCATTCATTTATTCATTCATTCATTCATTCATTCATTCATTCATTCATTCATTCATTCATTCATTCATTCATTCATTCATTCATTCATTCATTCATTCATTCATTCATTCATTCATTCATTCATTCATTCATTCATTCATTCATTCATTCATTCATTCATTCATTCATTCATTCATTCATTCATTCATTCATTCATTCATTCATTCATTCATTCATTCATTCATTCATTCATTCATTCATTCATGCATCACTAACCTACAGACGTTGACAACATCAATTTCACTGAGTACCATAGCAACGAACGGCGTGGTATCAAGTGGGGGCTGTTACTTCATGATATCCAGGGCCCTGGGTCCAGAGTTTGGAGGGGCCGTCGGATTTTTGTTCTACCTCGGGACTACTGTGGCCTCTTCCATGTATATTGTCGGAGCCGTAGAGATATTTTTGGTAGGTGGGAGGTGTTGTGTTGGCTGTTTAGTTGACATTGTTGGTGTTGTGGATGCTGATGGGCTATTTTGATGTTTCTAATCGTTTCGTTCATTATGTCACTTTCTTTTTTTCAAATATATTTTGTTGTTTGTTTGTTTGTCTGGTCGTGTGTCTGTCTGTCTGTTTGTTTGTTGGTGTGTTTGTGCGTTTTATGTGTGTGTCGGAAGATGAATGTATTGTTTTGCAATCAACAAAGCGTTGATGTTCGTAATGTATCTAATGATGGTACTATAACTCTCATACTTTTGCATTCTTCAATCAATCAATCAACCAACCAGCCAACCAACTATCCAGCCAACCCACCAACCAGCCAACCAACCAACAAGCCAACCAACAAACCAACCAGCCAATTAACCAATCAATCAATCAATCAATCAATCAATCAATCAATCAATCAATCAATCAATCAATCAATCAATCAATCAATCAATCAATCAATCAATCAATCAATCAGTCAGTCAATTAAATGTATTTATATAGCGCAATTTCTAAACTGTAAGTTTTTATAAATAAAACTTCATATTAGTTATTTTATTGTTATTCTATTTTTGGCGGTTTTTTCAGAGATCCTAAAGGTTATATTTTCTATCTCTAGTTATTTTTTTTGCAAATTTCACACAAATTAATAATCCCCCACCATTCCATCTGCAAAAATAAAAGAATTCCTAATTAGTTTTTATTATCGCCGCTATTTCACATAGATAAAAAAAAATGATTTCACTTCTTTCTTTTCACGAGAAAAATTTTTTTACCTAGCCATGTTGAACAAAATCGAGACGCCACCTGTCGCCAATAAAACAAACTTGCAACAAAAATGTTTCCCTGGATAAATGCTTGCATAGGTGTGCGTGCGTGTGTGCGTGTATGCGTGTGTGCGTGTGTACGTGCGTGTGTAACACCAAACATACATTACGGTGCTCGATAGCTAAAAACCACTGGGTTTTATTCTAATTAACAAAAATTCTGACGTGTCATTAATGAGATTTTTTTGGAATGAAATTAACATTACCAGAATAAGATAACCACAGTGACATTAACCGAAAAATTAAAAACAACAACAACTACTACATTAAAACAACAACATCTACATCAAACAACAACAACAACAACAACATCAACATCGTCGGCAACAACAAGCAACCACAACAACACAATATTGATCGTGCTGTCTCCGGCTAAAAATAGTCTGTTGTTGCCCATGCGTGCAACGTGTTATGTATAATATACCACCACTTATATCGTATAAAATACCACTTATATCGTACTCATTACCACTTATAAGGTATTAATTACTCTTTATAACTTATTCAATACCTCTTAAAACGTATTAAAAACCGCTTTAAAAGTATAAAATTTTAAATAAATTCCATAAATAAACTGGCATTACATACTAACTACTGATTATAATGTGTAAAATAATATTTGAAATACTTTTATATAGTATATGATAGATGTACTTATATAAAGTATATATATATATATGTATATACACTCACAATACTCTCAAGTCTTTATTACCAATTACTTATGAGTAACAATAATTTATCCATTCGTTTATGCATCCATAAATCTATTAATCTGCCCATCCATCCATCCATCCATCCATCCATCCATCCATCCATTCATCAATTCATCAATCTATCAATCCATCTATTCATCAATCTATCAATCCATCCATCCATTCATCAATCCATCAATCAATCCATCCTTCAATCCATTCATCCATCCATCCATCTATCCATCCAAACAGCAATACATAGCTCCGCAACTTTCAATCTTTGGATCGATGAACGTGCCGGCTAACGCATACAACAACTACCGGGTCTACGGGACTGGCTTGCTGCTCTTCATGTTCGCTTGCGTCTTTGTGGGGGTCAGGTTTGTCAGTAAGTTCGCCCCAGTGGCTCTCGCCTGCGTTCTTGGGTCCCTCTTCTGTGTGTACGTGGGGATTCTTAGGGCTGATCCGTCTAGAGGACCTCAGTACGTTTTGTGGTGGGGTGTTGTTTGTTGATTTTTGTGTTGACGGGGCGTGTTGGTTTTTTCAAGGATTATATCACTCGAACGTCAATCAAATCATCGGAAAAAATCAACCACACAACCAACTAGGCAATGAACTTTTTCAAAACTAACAACAACAACAACAGCAACAACAACCACCAAACCGCAACTACCAGATTGTGCTACCTGGGCGACCGACTGCTCGCGCGAGAAAAACTCTTCAACAACGAAACGGGCCTGTACGAATGCAACAAAAACATCAGCGGTAGGATCCACACTCTCTACTGCGGCGGCATGCACCTACCTACCGACCACAAAGACGACTACAGTAGCGACGATCGATACGGTCCTTACTACCACGAATACGGTAGCCATAGTGGTAGCTACTACGGCAACAACCAAAACAATAACGACGACGACGACGATGATAATGATACTAAGTTTAGAAGCGGTAAAAAGCGAAATATTAGAAGTAGCAGTAGTGAAAGTAGCGACAATGACGACAATAAAGATCCAAGAACGAAGGAAGAGTTAGAGAGAGATTGTGATTATTTTATGAAAAATAATGTTACCAAGAAGCCGGGTATACCTGGACTCAAGAGCGGCATGTTCTTTGGTTCGTTCGTTCGTTCGTTTGTTTATTTGTTCGCTGGTTTGTTCGTTCATTCGTTTATTCATTTGTTATTTTTCATTATGTGGTTTCATTGCACACATGGTTAATTCAATTGATATTCTTTAAAGGGATCGAAATTTAACAAATTGATCAAACACTTTTCTATGCCTGTAAGGTCTTAAAATCGAAATTGAAAGTCCACTCACTACCTGAATGTTCAATTCTTTAAATAAAATATTAAAATAATTTGCCAAAAATTTTGTAATAATAATAATAATAATAATAGTCACTCCCAATTAAAATACTTCGCACGGCAAGCATGTTATTTTTCCTCACATAGATGCTTGATGATGATTTTCTTTAAAATACTTCTTATCAAACAGTCTTCGTTCAAAGAAATTTTGATTAAAATTTTTCAATGTGTAGATTAAATACACACAAAATACGTATACATAGAGGTATACATGTGTGTGTGTGTTTACACAAACACACTAACACACACATACACACACACACACACGCACGCACACACGCACGCACACACACACACACAAACCAATTAGAGACCTCTTAAAATATCAAAGCCACACTTGTAAACGTTATCAAAAAGCAAATATTATTTTTATAGTTATTATAACAAACAATGATTCAATTATTATTTAAAAAATCCGGCTCATAACATGCCAAACGCTGCCAAAAGTTTGCCAATGAACTTTTGTATGTAGGTCATAGGTCATTCAACCCGCAACCCGACCTTGATGCGTATATATATATATACCAATGTATATATATATATAAATATATAATTTTAAATAATATATGGTTATAATAAAATAATAAGTAATTAATTAGAGTTATAATATTATCTTATACAATTGTAAGAGCGTTACGAGCTGTCATATATTTGCTATATGTTTATAATGAGTTTTGTGTGGCTGTTATGATCAGAATAGTCATCATCACCTTCACCATCATCATCATCATCTTGTTCTTCTTCTTCTTCGTCACCAGTATCATCATCATTACCGACCGGTTCATTTTTTGTAATAACAATAAATACTTAAGGAGTCTAGTAGTCATTTCATTGATTGTTTGTCTCTCTCTCTCTCTCTCTCCTTTCTCTTTCTCTCTCTCTCCGTCTTTCTGCACTTCATTATCATTTCCATTTTCTCTTTCTTCTTCATGTATCTCTTTCCCTCTTTTCTTTATATTTTTCATTCTCTTTTTTATGTCGTCATCTTTCTTCCTTTGATATTTAATATTTTATCTTTGTTGCATTCTCCCAATTTTTATGTTTTTGGTCCGTCTCTTACTCTATCTTCTCTCTCTCTCTCCCTCTCTCTCTCTCTTTCTTTCTCTCTTCTCTTTTTTATCTCTCTTCTTTCACTCTCTCTCTTTTCAATTCTCATCATCATTTCCGCCATTATTTTCATTCTTATTCATGGCTGGCGTTTTCAAAAAGTTTTAAAATACCTAATGATGCAAAATGATAACAACAAATGTTAACAATAATGTTAACATGTTAATGAATGCGCCAGTTAACATGTGGAGTCGGTACGGGGTGAAGGACAACAGGGTGGGGTCATACGACGAGAAGGGCGTGAGGGCCCGTGGTGACATCGTTTGTGACATCACGTCATCATTCCTCCTACTCATTGGCATCTTCTTTCCTTCCGTTACAGGTTAAAAATGGATTTAATCGATCGATTATTTCCTATTGTCGTCATCATCATTTTCGTCTTCTTCATCTTTTAAATTAATTAGTTATAATTAGTTGATTATTATTAATTATGTAGGTATAATGGCCGGTTCAAACAGGTCAGGTGACCTTGAGGATGCCCAAAGGTCAATCCCTATTGGCACGATTGGGGCTGTGACTTTTACATCTACTGTCTGTATCCTTTTGTATGGTTGTTTGTTTGTGCGTGTGTGTTTGTGCGTGAGTTTGTAAGTGTATATGTGTGTGTATATATATATATGTGCGTGCGTGCGCGTGCGTATGTATATGTATGTGTATGTGTGTGTGTGTGTGTGTGTCTGTATGTATACGTCTGTTACAATCCAAATGTATGATAGCTCTTTAAAAGCTCATTAACGTAATTCTACAATTGACGATTACGATATGAAAGCAACACTCATTCGCTATTTTATTGTAGTTGAATCGCGTGACGATTTTAAAAACCATAACAACAACAACAACAACAGAAACAACAATAACATCCCTACCATCATCACATAGTATCGTTATCAGTAATTCCATCGATCATCAACATCATCATAATCATCATCATCCTGCTCCTCCTCCTCCTCCTCCTCCTCCTCATCATCATCATTATCATTATCATCATCATCATCATCATCATCATCATAACCATTACCAACATTGTTATCAAGACCGTCGCCGTGTGTTTTTCTTAACTTGAAACTTACCTCCACCAATCTTTCAATCGAAATGACCCTGCTGATGACCATGACGACAACAACAACAACAACAACAACAATAATAACAACAACAACAACAATAACAACAACAATAATAATAACAACAACAACAATAACAACAACAACAACAACAATAAACAATAATAATAATAAAAGATCTATCCTGTCTGCTATGCTTCGCCGCTTGTGTGGATGGGGACCTACTAAGAGATAAGTGGGTTATTATTATTATTATTATTATTTATTATTATTATTGTTATTTATTGTTATTATTATTATTTATTATTATTATTATTATTAATAAGAGTGAAGTATAAATAATTTAAATGATGATTATGGTGATGGTGACACGACGACGACGACGATGATGATTAAGATAATAACATTAATCAGGGAAATGATGATGGAATGATGGGGATGGTGATGATGATGAGGATGAGGATGAAGAGAAAGAGAATGATGGAGATGGTGATGGAGAGATGAGGATGATGAGGATGAGGATGAAGAGAAAGAGAATGATGGAGATGGTGATGGAGAGATGAGGATGATGAGGATGAGGATGATAAGCGTCTGGGAGAAAACTTCAGTTACGGAAATGATTGAAAAAATTTGATAAATGGCAGGATGGATGATAAAAAGTTGGAGATGGTGATGATGACAATGCTGCTGCTGCTGCTACTGAGGGTGATGACTATGATGGTGGTGGTTATGATAATGATTTTGATGACGACGATGACGATTGTAGAAATTTAATTTAGATAAAAGCATTTTTCGATTCGTCAAAAGCATGAAAAGAAAATGATTTTTGCGGTAGGTAAGGACGATAATGATGATGGTGGTGTTGATAATGATGACGATGACAATGATGATGAGGACGATGACGACGATGATGATGCGAGGGTGTTAATAATACTGGAAATGTTGTTCTATATTGAATTTCTTTGATACGAAAATGATATTACGCGTTCGTTTGTCTGTCTGTATGTTTTTTGTGTATGTCTGTATGTTTGTGTGTGTGTGTGTGTGTGTGTGGTAGTTGCTGTTCTTGATAATGACAGCGTTGCGCTTTTTATTAGCGCTAGATGTCAGCGTATTTCTAGTAGTTAAAAATGTAACTTTTATGATCGACTTTATTGTTGGTGTGATCGCAGCGATGATTGATACGTCAGGACGCTGCTGATGCTTGCTGTGGCTGCTATGGCTGATGTTGTTGCTGCTGTAGCTGTTGTGGCTGATGTTGTAGCTGCTGTGGCTGATGTTGTTGCTGCTGTGGCTGCTGATGTTGTTGCTGCTGTGGCTGCTGTGGCTGATGTTGTATCTGCTGTGGCTAATGTTGTAGCTGCTGTGGCTGCTGTGGCTGATGTTGTTGCTGCTGTGGCTGCTGATGTTGTTGTTGATGTCAGTGTATTAGTTTCATTGAGTTTTTTCAAGTGCTGTTTAGTTTTGTTTCTCGCTGCTGTTTCATTCATGGCTGTAGTAGTAGTAGTAGTAGTAGTAAAAGTAGTAGTAGTAGTAGTAGTAGTAGTAGTAGTAGCAGTGGCGGTTGTGGTGGTTTCTCCTTTGATCATTTCATTTTGTGACCTGTCACCATACACTGTTGAACGCGTATATTATCTGGAAGTGATAATTCTCCCTTTCTGTTGAGTTGTATACTTTTGTATGTTTCTTATTTTGTTTGTATGTTTGTGTTTGTTTGTATGTGTGCGTCACCATTTGTATGTGTGTATTTCATGTATGTTTGGTAGGTTTGTTTGATATTTCATTATCTATTTGTTTGTTTTGTGTGTGCTTGTATGTATAATGTGTGTGTGTGTATGTGTGTATATGCATTTTATGTATGTGTATGTGTGTGTGTGTGCTTGTATGTATGTATGTGTGTGTGCGTTTTTGTTTTAATAGGTGGGCGTTGAATGTGAAATTAAATTTTATGCGTGATAAATCATTAATATGTGGCAATCATTTCTCCATTTTTTCAAATTTAGGGGTTGACTTTTTTTGTTTAATCACTTTTTAGTTTTTTGTTAACTTCTTTATTGATTTTTTTCATTCATTCTTTCGTTCGTTCATTCGTTCGTTCGTTCGTTCATTCATTCATTCATCCCATTATTATTCAATCAGTTATTCATTAAGTCGTTTACTCACTCAGTCATTCTTTCATTTCTGCACTTCAGATTCGGAGAAAGTATAGGAGGGGGTCTGATCGTGGCCCACCTGGCTTGGCCCAACCCATGGGTCATTACCATAGGGGCGTTCCTTTCAACCTGTGGCGCCGGTCTTCAAAGTTTAGTGGGTGAGTATTGACGACGACGATGACGTTTACAATAATAGTAATAATAACAACAACAAAAACAAAAATAATAATAATAAAATTAATAATAATTTAATATTAATCTAACCCGGACAACGTGCACGTGTATATGCTTCCTTTTGTTATTAGATTCTTGCTTAATCTATCAAGAACTTCTGGACTGGATTTTTCGCACGTCACAGACTAATCTAATTATCTTCCTGATTGAAATACTCTTACCCCTCTAATTAGATCACTATCTTTCCACTAAGGTTAAAATATTATAATTTAATTATTCATTATAATTTAATTATTAGCATAATCAAATCCACAGCCTAAGGGCGGTTGTTGGTTTTTGAGAATGAAATTTCACTAAAAGGCATCCAAAAAGTTATGTCCTATTTTGAACATCCCAGCCAACAAGATGGTTAACTGCAAGAACATTATGTCCTGTCACGTGAGGTTATTAAAAAATATGTGGGTGGAGCCTATGAAATGTCAATTAAACTCTGCAGAGCCAACAGTTTTGACTGCTGATGCGAGTTCTCTATTACGTCACTAAACGGTGTTAAAAAAAGTAGAAATAACCACATCACACACAAAAACACACATACACACGCACAGACACACACATGCACACACACAGACACACACACATACATATATATACACACCCCATACACATCCCACACACACACAAACACACGTACACAGTTCTATTTCTAATGGGCAGCTTAAGCAAACACTTAACGCCGAATATATGCACACCTACTTTCTCCATTCATTCCTCCTAATACATTTCATTTTACTTCTTTAAATTTCAGGCTTACCTCCACATCATGGGCAAACACGCTTTTCATTTGAACAAACAAACAAACACATACACACGCACAGGCAAACACACACACACAAACACGCAAACACACACACACACAAGCAAAAAAACTTACATGCATGAAAGCACGAAAAACAATTGTATATATATGAATATACAAAGAAACGTTTTCACAAACTAAAAAACAAACATACGAAATGACGTATATACATACATAGCAACAAACATACATACATACAAACGTACAAAGATACATACATGCAAATCAAAATACATGTAAATACATGTGTGTCTTATTGAATTTATTTTTGTTAAGCTTGCAAGCTGCAACAACGAAAAATCTTTCATTGTTTTGCCATTTCATCCAGTTTCTTCTATTCAACTAATTTGATTTTGTGTGTTTCCTTTATCTGTTTAAATGTTTTTATGTTAAAAAGATGTATGTTTATATATCATTCGTTCATTAATTCATTCATACATCAATTCATTTGTTCTTTCGTTCGTTTGTTTCTTTGTTCGTTCATTCATGCATTCATTCATTCATGCATTTATATGTATGCTATCATGATCTATTAAACAAATGGCACGTTCGAGTTTGAAATATAGAGAAATAAAATGAGAACCACGCGAAATAAGTTGGGTATATATATTGGATATTTGTGTTTATGATACGAATGTATCTTTATGTATATACACATATATATATACATAACATAAATATATTCGAGAGTATGAACCATGAAATACCATAAAATACCAAGATATTTACGAGAGAAAGAGTAGCGGATGCGCGCGAACGGTCGGCCAAGAAACCAGACGACTATGTATGTATGTATGTATCGATGTATGTATGTTTGTATGTATGTATGCATGTATGTATGTATGTATGTATGCATGTATGCATGCATGTATATATTTATGTTAAAACAAAGCATGATGAATAACACTGGGCAGTCTAACATCAAGTACGTATATGTATGTATGTACGTTTTGTTGTATATTTGTTTGTTTGTTTGTTTGCTTATATGTATATATGTATGTTAAAACTAAATCGTGATGAATGACACCAAACAGTCAAACATCTGTATGTATGTATGTATGTATGTATGTATGTATGTATGTATCTATGTTTGTATGTATGTATGTATGTATCTATGTTTGTATGTATGTATGTGTGTAGACTTACAGAAAAGAGGATGATTAGTGGTTTGTGGCTGTATAATGAAGATTTATGAAGATGTACGTGTGTAATTACGTGTGTGTGTGTGTGTGTGTGTGTGTACGTGTATGTGTGTGCGTGCGTATGTGTGAGTGTACGTGTGGGTGTACGCTTACAAGTGCTGGCGTTGTTTTGTTTTTATATGAGGTACTCGCAGTAAAGTTTGAAATAAATTATTTCGTGGAATTTCTAGTGCTATTTATTGATCGTTGTATGGCGATTTGCATATCGAGGTTATTTTTTCCCTCAATTTCTCAGTTATTCATCCATCCATCCATCCGTCCGTTTATCCATCCATCCATCCATCCATCCATCCATCCATCCATCATATTTCACTATCATCACAACCGCCACTATCCAGGAGCCCCAAGACTCCTGCAAGCAATATCCTCCGATGGAATCATCCCATTTTTGGATAAATTCTCCACTACGTCATCGAAGGGCGAGCCAATCAGAGCGCTCCTTTTGACTGCCACGATTGCGGAACTCGGAGTCCTATTGGCTAACGTCGACATCATCGCTCCGATCATCACAATGTTAACAATCGTGAATTACAACAAACTAAATTATGATGAATTATTATGAATTATAGCGATCCATGGTGAATTATGATAAATGATCATGGATTATAATGATCTATTATGAATTATAATGATCTATTATGAATTATAACGATCCATGGTGAATTATGATAGATTCTTATAAATTATCATGAATTATAACAATCAATTATTGTTCAATTATGAATTATAACGATCCATTATGAATCATGATGAATAATGATAAATTTTGTTATTTGTCATAATTTTGCAAAATATTGACCGCCAAGTATTGAATATTTAATATTCGTAAAAAATTATAATAATTTTTTATTTCTTGTGACTAATTGGGGTCCTATATTTCAATTCTCGTGAGGAGTTTTGGTGCTATATTTCGATTCTCAGGTTTTTCTTGATGTGTTACTGCTTTACGAACCTTGCGTGTGCCGTTCAGACCATTCTGCATTCACCAAACTGGAGACCGAGATTTAAACTTTACCATTGGTTGGTTGTGAGTGTGTGTGTGTGTGTGTGTGTGTGTGTGTGTGTGGGTGTGTCTTTCTTTTTCTGTGCGCGTGTGTACTTAGTTGAATATTGATGTATTTTTTAGTGTAATTTGTTAAAGTAATATGTATTTGAGGTGTGTGCGTGTGTGTGTGTGTTTATTGTGTAAGTGTGTGTGTCTGTGTAATGTTCGCGTTTGTATGTGTGTGTGTGTTGTTTTTTTTCTGTCCAGGGCCCTATCTTCCTTTGGAGTGGTCCTCTGTCTGGCCCTGATGTTGATGTCAAGCTGGCCCTACACAATCGCTGCTATCTGTCTGGCTGCCTTCTTATACAAGTACATTGAGTTCAAGGGGTAAAGTTTATTTCATTTTTTTTAAGATTTCAATTTTAGAACGTGTTAATTTAGAACTTTACTTAATTTTACTTTACATTTTCGTCAAGAAAAATTGATTATATGCTAAATAAAATTATTTTTATTAAACATTTTTCCTATTTAATAATAAAAAAGTTAAATTTAAAATGAAAAATAGAGCCGAGAAAGAGTGGGGTGATGGGGTGAGGGGCCTCTCGATGTCAGCCGCCAGATTCGCCCTCTTGAGACTAGAAGAAGGTAATGTACACGTTAAAAATTTCAGACCCCAGCTCCTGGTCCTATTCAAGTTGGATTCCAACCTTCAGCCTAAATATCGAAAGTTGCTGACCTTTGCGAGCCAATTGAAAGCTGGTGTGTGAGTGTGTGTGTTTGTTTGTGTGTGTGATTGTTTATTTGTTTATTTGTGTGTGTGTGTTTGTTTATTTGTGTGTGCGCGCGCGCGCGTGTGTGTGTGTTTGTTTATTTTCTCTTTTTAAAAATAATTCCTTTACTCATATTTTCATTATCCAACAACAAAACAGTCGCAAATTTTCCCAACCAATCAGGAAAGGGTTTGACCTTAGTGGCCACCGTCTTGCAGGGCAGCGATGCAATGGCGGGTCACGTGGTCAGTGACGTCAAGAATAGAATGAATGAACTAATGAAGAAAGAAAAGAGTAAAGGTTTTTGTGACGTTTTGGTTACTCAAGATAAAGCTGAAGGGATTAGTTTCTTGTTAGTGCGGTTCTTTTCATCTTGCGTTCATTAAAAAAATGTTTTAGCTAGTAGACTAAAAACTTTTGGAAATTAGTGTGTGTGTGTTTTGTGCGTGTGTGTTGTGTTTTTTGTGTTTGTGTGTTTGTGTGTGTGAGTAGTTTAGTATCATCATCATCGTCGTCATCATCCTTATTATTCTCTCATTGCAATCATCACCCACAACGTTATCATCATCATGATCAGAACAATCATGATAAGAACAAAATCTATGTACATACACTACACATGTACGTGGTATAGACGCATTATAAAGAGATTACAAATATGATACATTTATAGACCGTAGTATTAATGTTCTCCCATGCGAGATATTCGTGCTATCTATCTATCCAACCATTTATCTTGCTCTTTATGAGATGTTTTGCAATCGAAACACATCAACAGCTTAAAACTTATACCACCAATATCTTCTTCATTCCATCGTCGTCGGCATTACCATTATCGTCGTAATTTTATAACTGATGTACGGTGCACAAATGCTGAATCTTATAAAAAAAAATTCAAACATACATACATGCACACAAACAGACAATTCCACAGACAGACCGACAGACACACACACACACAGACAGACACACAGACAGACAGACAAACAAACACAAACTTCATTCCTCACCAAGTATACAAGCTGCAGGATTGGGCGGATTACGACACAACACGGTCTTACTTAATTGGCCCTCCAGGTGGAAAAAACATCGCAAACGCAATCGAATATTCGTCGGTATGTTCGTCGATTCGATCGTTTTAATCGGTATTGGAATCGAATTTATTTGAACTGAGAAGAAAGTAAAACCGATTGATTAGCTAAATTTATTTAATTCCAATTTTGAAAAAAATTTTCCAGAAACATTGAAACTTATAATCGACCGACAGTTGGCTGTGATGCTACTGAAGGGAATCGATCGATTTCCTGATAATTCTGATAAAGTATCGGGATACATAGATGTCTGGTGGATTGTCCGTATCTTTTTCTGTTTATAGATAAATGGATAGTTGGATAGATGGATAAATGGACGAATAAATGGATAGATAAATGGATGGATAATTTGACAAGGAATTTGATGGCGAAAATGACAAAATTAAAATTTTATAAAGGCTTTCGAAAACATTAACAACATCATTATACGGACTGTTAATATAAATTGAACAAATTTGTGAAATTCAAACTACGTTTTAATGTCGTCATTTTGAAGTTGATGTTATTGCTGTTGTTGTTGTTGTTGCGGTTGGTGATGTTTCCTTGACTGTGCGATCATCTGATGCGTGCAAACACTGATGACATCATCAACAACCACAACGACCTAAAAAAACATCAACTTGATGTCTGGCAGACGACGGTGGTCTATTGATGTTACTGCCATTCTTGCTCACACAGAATAGAGTATGGAAGAACTGCAAGCTTCGCATATTCACCGTTTCGCGTCAGTTCGCGAATGATAGTTCTAAATAAAAATTAATTAGTTCGCAGTAATGAAGAACGTAAATATTAATTAAATCAATAATATTAATTAGGTCATGAATATTAATTAAGTCTAGAATGTTAAATTGCAAACTTGACATTTTCACTTTCTCTTCTTGGCCGATAAATTTTGGTTTTATGGCAAAACGACTGTTTTATTTGGCGGTTTGTTGGGCTTAGCCGACAAAAAATATGCAAAGTAAATAAAACAACAACAACAACAACAACAGCAACACAAGCAGTCAAAAAAACTGCAAAACAACTACAACCTTTTCAGAATTGAACGACAACAGCATGCAAATTCAAAAAGACCTCGAAACATTCATGTACCATTTGAGAATTCCAGCCGAAGTGCATGTCGTTGAAATGGTTGTTGTTGCTGTGGCTGTTGTTGTCGTTGCTGCTGCTGATGTTGATGTCGTTGTTGTTGCCGTTATAGATGTTTAAACTGTTGCTTGCTTTGTTGTTTATGCCTTGACCGATAATTTTTTAAACTGTTCTCAATGATTTAATTACATACATTAGTTTTTGTCTGCGCTATTTTTTTTAATTATTTTTATGTTGTTGTTGTTTATGTGTTGTCGTTGTTGTCATTGTCGTTGTCGTTGTTGTTGCTGTTTACGTATCGTTTAGGTTTTATCTGTTGATTGTCTCTATGCTAACATCAACGCTTTAATTTATTTATCGTTGTTTATATTTTGTTTATGTTTAAATGTTTATTATTATTATTATTATTATTTTATTATTATTTTTATTCTTTTTATTTGTTTTCTTATTCCTCTTCAGGAAATTAGTTCCGTAGTTTAGTTTTTATTGCAGTTATAAACAAAATTTCGTTCTTTCTTCCTCTTTTACAAACACTCTCTCTATTTCCATCTTTCCTCTCTCTCTCTTGCTCTCTTTTTTTCTACCTTACTTTCTTTATCATTTTCTTTCTCTATCTCTCTATCTTTATATTCATTTCTTTAAATTTTTTATTGCCTGTTTCACCCTCCTTTGCTCTGTTCATCCTTCCTCTCATCATTCGCTCCTTTTCTTTCCACTCTTTCACTCGTCCATTCGCTACCTTAACTCTCTTTCTTTTCTCTCTCTTTCTCTCTTTCTCTTTTTTTCCTTCTTTTTCTTTCATTTTCCTCTTCTTTAACTCTTTTTCTATCTCTTCTTATCTGCAGACGGAGAAAGACATAAAGACATATTCATACGAGCAGACGTTAAGCAGATTGTCCGGGAGATACGAAGATAAGAGGGAGTTGGAGAGATACGGACGAGGAAGAAGTGAGGGTAGATATTACATGATGAGGCCAAAAAGCGTTCCGCCTGTTAGTGTTATTATTATTATTATTATTATTGTTGTTGTTGTTGTTGTTGTTGTTGTTGATATAGTAGTAGTACTAGCAGGAGTAAAAGTTGTTGTTGTTGCTGACGTTTTTGGTTGACGATATTAGTAATAAAAAACAAACAACAAACAAACAAACAACATACAAACAACAAACAAATATACAATCAAACAACAAACAAACAACCACAGTCAACCTCGATGTATGTTTTCCACCAACATGTTGATCACGAAGATGAGGAAGACGATGTTGTTGCTAGAAGCAAAAGGGTATACTTTTGTATTGTTTATTTGTATGTCGGGTATTTGTATGCGTATGTCTAATAATTGTATATGTATGTCTAGTAATTGTATATATTATATATATATATATATATCTGGTATTTGTATGTGCATGTTTGGTATTAGAATATCAATACGTCTGGCACATTTGTAGCATTTGTAGCATTTGTAGCAACATGTAGCATTTGTGTATACATGTCTAATATTTTAGATCCATTGACGGTATTTTTAAACGCGGATAAAAATGTGTAATGATAATTCTTGTAACACTTTAAAATATAAGAAAAAAATATAAAAAAAATATAAGAAAAAAAATATAAGAAAAAATAAAAATAAATATAAGAAATATAATAAAAATTATAATATAAGAAATATATAAGAATATAAGAAAAATATAAGAATAAAAATTGCATTCACACTTCTACAAGCCTAAGAGTACACCGACTATATCTTGGGCCGACCAGCCGCGCTTCATCAGGGATGTTTACCGTGACATCGACGATGACATCACTATTCAGAAATCCATCAGCGTCACGAGGAACAGCAATAGCAAAAATAATAATAATAATAACAACGACAACACCAACAACAACAACAACTACGACAACAACAAAAACAATAATAATAATAATAATAATAATGTTATCAGCACCATCAATAATAGTAATAATAACAATCTCACTAGACCTACAAGTAGCAGTAGTAGCAATGTCAAACTTGTCAATAGCTTAAGAGCGAGTCCGTACATTTTTGCAAAGGACAACGCAGATAAAAATAACAACAACAACAACAACAATAATAATAACAACAACAATAACATTAACAATAATCCAATCTGCTTCGATGAAAATAACAACATCAACGTCACTAGGAACGACGACAACAACAACAATGACATTGACAGCATCAACAACAACAACAACCTAAACAACTTAAACAACGTAAACAACAACTCAAGCCCCTTACGTCATTCAAACTCCCTGCCGTGCCCCGCCATAACATGCTCCTTTGTTGGAAGCCGCGAAAAAATAAAAAAATCACGTGACCAAATTGTGACTGGAGATTATGATGACGAGGAGGAAGATGATGAAGATGATGGTGGTAATTGTTATAGTGGCCATGATTATGATGCTGGTGGTGTTCATGGTTTTCATCGGCTGAATTTGTCTAGGTTCAGCGTTGATCAAGCTGCTCTGAAGGCCGCGTAAGTCGGATGGATGGTCAGTTGGTTGGTCAGTTGATTGGTTGATTGATGAGTTGGTTGAATGGTTGATCGGTCGGTCGGTTGTTAACTAGATGGTTAGCCGGATGGTTGATGATTGGTTGTTGGATTGATTGTTCATTGACGAATGATTGTAAGCATATACTACAAACACAACATTAAAAAACACAGACACACATATAAAAACACACACTCACAAACAAACACACAAACAAACAAACAAACACAGAGAAGAACAAAGCGTCAAACGCCTAGAAACAGCCATGCGACTGAACGAGATGATGAAAGAGAAGTCGAAAGAAGCGAGGCTTGTCGTCATCAACCTGCCGGGAATTCCTAAACTTCTGGGCGAACACAGGCATTGTTCGTGCATTCATTTTAATTATTTTATTTTATAATAATTATTATTTTTTTATTATTCTTTGCAATTGCATATTATTACCAAGTTCTTTTTTTTATTTTTCTTTTATTATTGAAATAGTTATTGTAGTAGCAGAAGCAGCAGCAAAAATAGTAGTAGCGGTGGCAAGTAGCAGCAGCAGAAACAGCATTAGCAATGCCGTTTGACAATAATAATCAAACGATAACCAAATTAAGACGCTAATAATCAAAAAAATTTGATATAAAAAAAATTATTTTTCAGATATGGAATTTTTGGACGCCCTAACGGAAGGTTTAGAAATGGTGCTGATGGTCAGAGGTGGTGGAAGAGAGGTCATTACTATATTCTCTTGATGACGATGACGACACACACACACACACACACACATACATCACAGACACATACATACAACGAATATATACATGCATGACGTTAAGACAGCTTTTATCCGCTCTGTACGGTGTTAAGAGATACCTTCTTAAAATAATTATCCTAAATAACGTATTTTATTATTTATTTATTTTATTATTTGTTGTATTATTATTATTCATTATTATTATTACTATTATTTGCAATGGTTGTGTTGAACTGGGCGAGTTTAACGGCAAAGACGAACTCGGCTAAAGAAGCCACGCGCCCACACAACGATACATCGTTAGGCTGCTCTTACAATCGTCACATTATTTCACTTTGATGTAATGATAAACATAAACATCTCTATCAGAAACACTACACACAAACATACACAACCACACACACATACATACACACTGACACACACAGACAATCATACATGCACACACACTAACACACGCACACACACACGCACACACACATACATACACACACACACACACAAACACACGCACATAAACAAAGAATAAGATTATTTTCAAACATCCTTTTTCATCATTAACGGCTCGTTAAGTAAGTCGACAATATAATCTATATACATACATATGAAAATGTGTGTGTGTGTGTGTGTCTGTGTTTGTGTGTGTCTGTGTGTGCTTAATAAGCTTAGTGCGTTCAAAATTAAACACGAAATACGACTTAGGAATGTAAAGTAACTTTACGAGAGCGTGTTTTACTTATTTTTTACAATTTATATTCGAATGTATTTTAAATACAAATTAAATAATTTATTTTATTAGTTTTAATTTTTCCTTCAAAATTACTCACATACTGCAGATACATACATATACACAACTTTAAATATACACAACTTTATACAACTTTAAATATACACAACTTTATACAACTTAACATATACACAACTTTATACAACTTTACATATATACCACTTTATACGAGATGCTAATATACTCTACCAGGATATCAATTGCATTACCTATTCATTTGACTCCGAATCATTCATTCCATTTGTCTTTTGCATGTAACTTGATGTAATGTATCATAATAATAATATATATATAAAAGATATATGTGCTAATGCGTTCATTAAAACCTTTATAAGACTATGTATATATATATATACTGTTTTACTTTAGAGTTTATAAATTTGTATCTATCTCTCTCTCTCTCTTTCTCTCTATCTCTCTTTATATATATATCTCTCTCTCTTTATCTATCTCTTTCTTTATATATATAGTGTATATTCTAAGACTATTATACATAATATAATTTCATCAATTTCATAATATATACTAGATATTATTAAATATTAGGCGAACATGCATTATACGAGATACTGTTTATATATATATATATATATATATATATGTATATATATATGTGTGTGTGTGTGTGTGTGTGTGTGTGTGTGTGTGTGTGCGTGTTCTGCGTGCGCTTAATTTTAGTTTCCTTCTATGCATTTAGCTCTTGTTAATGTAATGTACTTGAGTATCATGATATCATATATAAGTCTTGTCATTTTTTTAGAGGTTGTGGTTATTTGTGTTTTTTACATTTGTTATTATTGTTCGTTACTGCTGTTGTTGTTGTCGTCGTTACACAAACAAACTGACAAACATACGAACGAACAAACAAACGAACGAACAAACAAACAAATGAACAAATATATCGAAAATTTCCTACTACATTCTGTAGAATGGCTCACCCTTAATTAGTTACATTATCGCCACTTACAAACACACACAAACACACAAACACACACACGTATATATATATATATATATATATATACATATATATACTTATTATCAATAGTCTTGCCTGTTGTAATATCGCGATATCCATGCTTCTATATAAATAACTAGCGTTTCAAATGAATGTAGAATAATATTATACTTATAATATATTTGCCATAATTAAAAACAATAATAATTATAATTTTTTTTATTATTATTATTGTTGTTGTTGTTTTTTTTGTCGTTGCTATTTCCCTTATTAAAATTGTTATAATTATTTTTTAGAAATTATTTCCTGTAAATTTTCTCATGACGATGTTTGTGCAATATAGTGAAACTTCCTACTGTTCATCCCGGGTTCTGTCGTTCATTCGTTCGTTCATTTTTCATTCGTTCTTTTGCTGGTTCGTTCATTCATTTATACATTCGTTCATTCATTCAATCGTTCGTTCATTCATCATCCATTCATTCATTCATTTACTTCTATTAGAGATAAACCAAGAGAGAGAAAGAGAGAGAAAGAAAGAGAGAGAGAGAGAGAGAGAAAGAGACAGACAGACAAACTATGGGAAGAGAAACAAAAAGGATTAATGAAATTGAAAGAGAGATACAATCAGAAAATTATAAACGAAGAAAAAGAGGAAAGGAAGATCTTTGAGAAGAAAGATAGAAAGAGAGAGAGAGAGAGACAGAGAGAGAGAGAGAGAGAGAGAGAGAGAGAGAGAAAGGGAGAAAAAGAGAGAGAAAGATAGAAAGAGAAAGAAAGAGAAAAAGAGAGATTTTATAATAAAGAGACCTCATAAGAATAGTATGAAACGCATTTTTTTTTATAACCGGAGAAAAATCTTTTCACTCAAAGACAAGTTTGAAAGAATAAATTAGCTTGAATAAATAAACACGTCCCGAATGAAAATAATATCTAATAGGATCATACACAGAGAGAGAATGATGACGACGACGATAATGACGATGACGTCACTGTTTACGATTGTAGGACTATTCGGGTTTTTCCCATTATTACGCCATCGCGTGTCAAGCCTACGTCATGTTCCATTCATTATTTAACTGCCTGCGACGAATAATAATAATAATAATAATTATTATTATTATAACTATAATTATTATAATTTATAATTATTATTACGTGTATTATATTTGTAACTAATTCTAAAAATAATTCATAATATTGATATAAAATAATGTAGGTTTTGAGCTAACTTGTAGTTGTGGATGTCGTTGAGAATCGTGGAGAGCTTGCTGACTTCCTTGCACACTTCCTCCACGTCATCTCCCTCCTCTGCGCCCAATGTTGACAGCTGTCGGGAAAAGGAATGATGGAAGATGATGGATGGAGGGAGTGATAGTGAGGAAAATGGATGAAAAAAATTCACTGCAAACCTGATAATCTGAAAAGCCCCGAGTTACCATGGTGTCCAACAACAATGAAACATTACGACCAGGGCTGAGTCGCATGTACCTACCACCATTCTCGTGTGCCAGTTTTTTTAAAAATGAATTGGCTTGTCTGTGTGAACGTGTGAGTATGTGTGTGAAAGAGTTTTTGTTTGTCTACGCAGATGTATGTAAGTATGCATGTGGGCTTGTTTGCAACATGTACATTTTGCGTCAAAATTAGTTTATATAAGTTGTAAGTTGGTGTGTGTTTATATATTTCTGTGTGTGTGTGCATGTGCGTAAGTTTTAAACCACACTTACTCATCATTGCAGTTGAAAGATATAGTGTTGACCTTGACCCGGTTATTACTGCCCTTATTAATATTCATCTGACCTACCTCCTGACCAATCAGCGACATGGTTGTGTCTGGGCGCCCGTCGGTCAGCAAGTAGATGGAGCTGGCTTCCGACATTTTAAATGCAATCTGCGTTGATTGGACGGGGTTCTTTTTTGTTTATTTTAAATTTAAATATTTAAAAGTTTATTCTTTATTCAAATTCATCAGCAGATTAAGTTAAAATTTACCGAAAGTATATAAAATCCCCTCAAACTATATGAAACCTCACCCTATGAATAAAATATTCGACTTGAAATATATGAAATTCTACCCAAAATTTACGAAATTCTACCCAAAATTTACGAAACTCTACTCAAAATTTACGAAATTCTACCCAAAATTTACGAAATTCTACCCAAAATTTACGAAACTCTACTCAAAATTTACGAAATTCTACCCAAAATTTACGAAATTCTACCCAAAATTTACGAAATTCTACCCAAAATTTACGAAATTCTACCCAAAATTTACGAAATTCTACCCAAAATTTACGAAATTCTACCCAAAATTTACAAAATTCTACCCAAAATTTACGAAATTCTACCCAAAATTTACGAAATTCTACCCAAAATGACCTGCAGTGCATGGAGAGTGCACGTGTTTCCGTGAGCATTGAGGTTCTCATCAACCCACTCCCTCGCTTGCCTCAACGTCTCCTCGTTCACTCCAGTCATTCGCAACTTCCAGGCACGAACTTCGTTTGAAAAGGTTAGGATGTTGAAACTGAAAGAGTGGAAGAATGAATGAGTGAATGAATGAATGAACGGATTGATGAAAAGATGGATAAATGAATGAACGAATGAATGAGTCAAAAAGTCAAAATTAATGTATTCCTGATTTTAAATAGGAAAAATTATTACAATGATATCTATCGACTTTCATAAATAACTAAAATGCATAGATGAGAAGCTAGGGAGGTCACCACTGACAGCTTGCAGACGTGGGCGATCTGCTCGTCCAGTAGCAGCTTCAGTGCACTTTTAACTTCAGTCACGTGGTCAACCATCGAACCGGAAGTGTCGATGATGATGATGCAACTATCTTCTAAAATTTGACCGAAATATCTCCGGCTTCCTTCATTTGGGGTATGATGATGACGTCAACAAAGATGACGATGATGATAACGAAGATGATATAATTGACGAAAAAGAGAGAGAAAAAACAGAAAAAGAGAGAAAGAAAGAGAGAGAGAGAGAAACGGTAGTAACAAACCTGTGTAGAGCCATTTCAGTCTTAGTAAATATTTCTTTATCAATACTTTAACTTCGTTTTCAATGATAATCAATTGATCGTTTTTCAGTAATATGTGTCTATATACGTTTGTGTCTTTCTCATCTTTGTTGTTGTTGTTGTTGTTGATGATGTCATTGTTGTCGTTGTTGTTGTTGTCGTTAATGTTTAGCTTTTGTTTATCTATATACTGTTTGACGATCGGATGATTTGGGCAAGTTCTTTGCGGTGTAGATGAATAATTGAAATGTTTTGACAGAGATGTATGTAGTTGTTGACGTTGTTAGTGTTTAGCTATTAATGTTATTGTTGCTGATGTTGTTGTCACATCAATTTTTCATGAATATCATTAACACGTTACATTACATGACGCAAGTCACAATTTTTTTTTAACTTTATAATAAAATCTAAAAAAATTCATTCATTCATTCATTCATTCATTCATTCATTCATTCATTCATTCATTCATTCATTCATTCATTCATTCATTCATTCATTCATTCATTCATTCATTCATTCATTCATTCATTCATTCATTCATCCATCCATCCATCCATTCATTCATTTATTCATTCATTCATTCATTCATTCATTCACTCACTTCGTTCCGTCATTCAGTATCTTAGTCCTCCTATGATGGCATACAGAACCGAGGGTTATTTTATTAATTTGTGATTTTAGCTTCGGGTTGGTATAGCAGAGTAACCACTTAGGAGGAAATAATTTAAGAAATTGATGCGAATATTATTCAATAATTATGAATATCATTCTATAATTATGGATATCATTTCATAATTTAAAATATTAGGTCATAATAATGAATATTAAGTTATTTTTTTTACAATTTCTTTGAATATTCCTCCATAGTATCAACAACAAACACGCAATGCACGTAGATGCATAACGTGTGAACTAACGCATCACACACACACACACACACACACACACACACACACACACATTGCATCATCGTGGAATAAATAAATTCAAAAATAAAAATGTATTTCCCACATCTTTGGTCGACAGGTTAGTCTCTTCAATGCCTGCAAACGCCATCTGGGAAGTAATCTTTCTTCTAAAAATCCTACCTACGTCATGCCTGACGTCATCTATGAAAATTTCAAAAAGCATACATCAAACATGTAACGTAACGACGTTTTAAGATAACCGCACCTAGATACAAACACACATACACACACACACACACACACACACACACACACACACACACACACACACACACACATACATACATACACACACACACACATTTCAACAAACCATAATCCGACGGGTTATTCTCACCCCTGACTCGACCATAACTTTCTTGAGGGGCACTCGAGGGCCTGAACTTTGACCCGCCCATATAGGCCAAGTTCTTTGTGACCCTTCTTTTGATTTTCTCTTTTTCGTTTATATGGTTCTTGAAGGAAAAAAATATTAATCAGAAGAAAGTTGATATTTTAGTATCACAAATTGATATACATGTATTGAGAGAGAGAGAGAGAAAAATAGATAGATAGAGAGAAAGAGAGAGAGAGGAGAGAGAAAGAGAGAGAGAAAGATAATAATTTATTATTTTACTCATTTTTCAAATATTTAAAAAAAATTTAAACAAAACCTGTCTGGCCGCCGATAAAATAGTTTGCTTTAGTGAGAGGAGTGATCTATTTTCCTGCAATTTGATTGGTTGGTCCATTCTTGATTGATGTGATGACAGAGTTGACCTGAATTCTTTTTGGTCCTATGGGGAATAAAACTCATTTATTTATGCCTTCAAACAGAAAAAAAATATTTTTTCGGACTGACAAATTAAAACCACAATAGTATATTAATTATTAAATATTAATGAAGTATTAAAATGTCAATTCATCGTCAGCTGAAGTTGAGAAAATTCAATAAAAAATTAATGATGAATTTGTTGAGGAGTTGAAATTCGAAAACGCGGTTCTCCGACTTCATGCAACAGACGATTTTTTGATCTGACGGCTTCAACAAGCTGCGTGCACTTTCTAGAATGTTCTTTCGCCTTTTCCATTTCGTCCCTCAAGAGCGTGACGTCATCGCTCTCTATGATGTCTGATTGGTTGGAGTTTTGTTTGAGTTGTAGAGTTAATATTACGACTATTATGATTGTAAATAATGTGTCTAATGGTGCAATGCTTGGATTGATATATGATACGTTCCTGAGATATTTTTAATATTCGACGATAAATTTTAAAATAGTTATTGAATCAATGTGTGTTCGTACAAATAAAGTATCTATATATCATTCATTCTGTCAACCAACCAATCCTTCCATCAACCAACCAACCAATCAATCGATCAATCAATCAACCAACCAATCCTTACATCAATCAATCAACTAACTCAGTCCATCAACCCAATGAAATCTTCCTCCAGTACAGTGGGCCAGTTCTTTTAAATAATTAACGATAGATGACCTTGACATATATCTGGGTCGCTCTGACCCAGTTTCTTGATCAGCAATCAGGTTGGCATGTTTATTGAATGCTATTTGGTTTAGTTGATCCGTAAATCGTAAGTTGTCATAAAAGTCGGTTAAGTTAGCTGGCGGCACTAGGGGTGAATTAGGGTCAAAGATCATGACGTCATTTAAAATAGGGGTGCCGTTTGTGATTGCCCTGTAGCCCCCCGTATTCGGGTAAGGTGAAAGGTCAAGTCGTTTGATGGCGGGTTCGTAATCATCGACGGAAGTGTAGATGACGTGAAGTTTTACGTCACCATCCAGACAGTGCTCTTCCAAGTATGACGTCACCAAATCACGTGATTGGTCTGGGGCACCCGTGGTCATCAGATATAAACCTGAAAAAATAACAAGCGAATAACTAATTTTCAAAAAAATTTCAATCATTAAACACAGAAAGTAGACCAAATTAACAGTACCAACGGTCTCCTACATACATTCAACAAAAATACATAGTTTTCAAATTATACCTATTAAACATAAACAAGATTATATATTAAAATAGATCAAAATAAAACTTATTAAATAAAAAATAATTTCAGAAATGAGAAACCTAGAGGGAACTTGGTCATCTCATCATTCTCGATGACCATCATTACACCGCTCAATGTGTTGCGACTGCCCGAGCACTTCAACGATTGTATCCATCTGTGTTGGGGAAATATTATAAGTAATCTAATTATGTCTAATTATACTATTATAAATTAATTTAATTATAATTTAGTTTAAATTGAATTTTGAGAAAAATAAAAGTTTAAAAATTCAAGAATGAATTTTGCAGACTTCCAGGCTAATTGCAGCTGATCGCCATTTGGTTCAACCAATGTTTTCCTCCACATTTTAATTTCCAAAGAACATCTGATGACGATGATGGGGATGATAAAAAAGAACTACTATTACTACTACTACTAACAATAATAATAATAATAATAATTATAATAATAATAATATCACTACTACTACTACTACAATTACCACAAAAATTACATACGCAACGATGTTGAACAATTTTTTGTTGTGAATTTGCTGCTCGAGTAGCATCCTCAACGACTGCTGAATGTTGAGTAGGTGGCGTTTGTTGTCGACGCACATATCCAATAACAACACAACACTGTTTTTTGAAAAATTTAAGTAGGTTAAAATGTCAAAAAACTAAATCAGATAGCCTCATTTAATTGTGTCTTCAAGTTTGACCGGCTTGTTGTTAGCAAGTTTAAAAAATTGTGTTGAGTAAAGTTGGCAAAGCCTATCAGCGATAACATCACCACACGTTCAACAACCACACAACAACAACCACACACCACCGCCAGCCACCAACCACCACCATCGTCCAAACAAACTTTTCTTCAGTAACACTACCGAACAATCTTCTACTTCCTTTCTCCAGCCACTCGACCCTCTTTTCCAGCAATCCGACCATCTCTCCGAGTTGACCTTGATACTTTTGAAGTTCAAGAAAGTTCACGTGAACATTTTTTATCGATCCGTCCGACCAATGAAATTGTACCATCGCCCGTTCGTTGACCAATGATTGTACGGTTTTCCCCGTCACGTGCACAAACTGCTGACGGTAGGAGAAGGCATTGCGAGATAAGACTTGGTAAATGTCAAGGTTTTTGGCTGAGGGTAAAAAATGTTTGGGATTATTTTTATGATTTTCATACGGTAGAATCATAAAACAAAAATTATTTGAAATAATACAAAATGATTTTAGCCTTTTACTCTATATTTTTTATTTGTATTCAAAAAATAGGAACCTTTTAACCCATTTCTCAACAGCCAATCATGTGAGGTGTCTTGCTTGAATGTGATTGGCTCGAGTTGGAGGGGCTGGAAATGGTTTGAAGGCAGTGATTGGTTGAAAGGATATTGACTCAATTCTTGGCTGATCTGAGTGGTTGATTTGCGTCATATATTTTTAAACAGCTTTTGATCATTTTCATCATCTTCACCACCAACAGCATCACCACCATCACCACAACCATCATCGTCATCATCATCATCATCATCATCATCCTAGCCATCATCATCATAACCTCCTCAATGATTTTAACGATGGCAGTTCCAAGCATTCCGGTCCTGATGTTGTATATGGAGAGGAGGACCTGCTGGCATTTCTTTACCTCCTTAAGTAGCAATTCCAGCTCTGAGCTCGTGTAATTCAACTTCTGCTTGTTGTGGGAAAGAAAAATTAAAAAAGTAATAAAATAATTATAAATAATCAAAATAATAATAATAATACTAATAATAATAATAGCAAAATAATAAATTATTAATTATGATAATATTGATAGCACGAAAAGTTTGAGCTGGAGGCTGACCGCCTCAAAGAATGAAAGTCAAGATTCATTCAATTTAGACCTTCGAAGTCATGCATGACGTCACAATCATCATGACCATCATCATCATCATCATCATCTTAGGACATCATTACTATTATTTTATGACATCATCATCATCACCTTTGGACATTACTATCATCATCTTATGATATCAAATAACTATCAATTAATAACATCACTATCATCATTTGAAAACATCAATTAACCATAATTTTATAGCGCCATCACTTAAATCAATTAATTAGATTAAATTAATTTAATTAATTAATTAACTACATCATCATCATTATTTTCCAACATCATCGTCATCGTCTTACTCACTTCGAATCTCTTATTGAAGCAATGGTAGACACCGCCCGTATCGCTGGCAAATCTTCTCATTAACTCCTTTATTTCAAATTGGATGTGAAGTGACGTCATTACAATCATTTTATAATATCATTGATATCATTATGTGACGTAATCATCGTCATTCCGATGTTTTTCTGGTCGTCATCATGTCGTCATCACAATGCTTATGACGTCATCTCAGTGGAAAATTTCACAAATAAAGTGCCAGCACAAAAAATACAAATACACTCATAAATACACACGCACACACGTACAAACACGCGCAGTCATACAATCGAACGATACAAAGCGGACGCATACTTCCACACATATACAAACACACACACACGTTCACACACACAAACACACACACAAACACAAATACAAAGATACTAACATTAGTAGCTTCGTCGTAGCATTCAAAAGATACAAAATGCACACACACATTCAAGGATAGCAGCCTCCTTTCAACATAGTCACATATCATCTGCAAGCCGCATTCAGGCCTTAAGTGTAACATATACATATTTATTTATATAAATATATTTAATAATAAATAAATATATATATATCTTATATTTTATTACTATTTTTATTATGGTTGTTATAATGACAATTATTATTATTATTATTGGTAGGAATATATTAGTAGCAGTAGTAGTAGTAGCAACAATAGTAGTAGTAGTAGTAGTAGTAGTAGTAGTAGTAGTAGTAGTAGTAGTAGTAGTAGTAGTAGTAGTAGTAGTAGTAGTAGCAATAGTAGTAGTAGTAGTAGTAGTAGTAGTAGTAGTAGTAGTAGTAGTAGTAGTAGTAGTAGTACTTACTTAGATCCAAGAATCACGCATATAGTATCCACACAAGCAACCTCATCATCGTCGTCGTCATCTTTTTCATTACTCAAAACTGTCATCATCGTCTTCTTCATCGCCATCATCAGATCATTACCATCACCTGCCTTTAACTCATCCAACCACTGTTTTGCTTCTTCAATCCTTCCATCCATCCATCCATCCATTCATTCATTTTTATTATTATTCGTATTAGTAGTAGTAATAGCAGTAGAAGTGGTAGTCGTAGTATTAATATTATATTTAAAACGATTTTCATAAAAATGATTTTAAATGCTGTTCATTCAATCATTCACTCATTCATTCACTCAGTTAATTAATCAATCAATCAATTACTCAATTGGAAACATTAATCAAGTGCAATTTTAAACTAAAATAAAATCAAATTTCACTTTGTTTGGCTTATAAACTCCGGAGAACTCCACAACTTATAATATCTGCTGTTGTAAGCCGCCAAGAATAAACTCCTCCTATTTGATAACTGCTCTTGCACTAGTTGCTGAGACAAAATTTTTAAATAAAGGACTATCAGAATATAGTATGACAACTAACTTTAGCAGTAGTATCAGTAGCAATAGAAGTAGCTTTATAAGTAGCAACTGTAGCAGCACAAGCAGCAGTTGTTGTAGCAGTCGCGGTAGTAGCAGTCGGAAAAGAAGAAGCAGTAAGAAAAGGCGCTATACAAATAATCCGCTAATAATAATAATAATAATAATAATAATAATAATACTAACATAAGTGATTTTTGTACTGAATTACTAACTTTCAAGGCACTGATGTACAACATTCGCCTGTTGTGCACGAAATTATCTTCAGAGCAGTCAAGCACGACTGCTACTCTGTCACCTCTCACATCGCCAAAATACTTTTTGAGGTGATTTTTATTATATTATTTCAACTATAATTAATAATAATAATAATTAATAATGATAATAATAATAGTAATAGTGCTAATTCTAATTGTATCAATGATACTACTACTGCTACTGTTGTTGCTACTATTACTACTACTACTACTACTACTACTACTACTACTACTACTACTACTACTACTACTACAACTACAGCTACTACTACTAATAATAATAATGTTATTATTATTAATAATAATAATAATTTTTCACTCTTTTTGTTCCTTTGAAGTATTCTTTAATTTTCACCGAGTATTCTTCAATTGCCCTAAAATAAAATAAAAATAATAATAATAAGATGGAATAGACTAAAATAGAAAGCAAATACTATTGCCATTACTATTTTGAAGACTGCTACTCACTATTACTGCTTTTACTTCTCTAAGACCACTACTGCTGAATACGTTCCTCTATCACTACTACTGCTACTACTGCTGCTGGTTCTGCTACTATCACTACTACTGCTGCTACTGCTGTTGCTGCTTCTACTACAACTACTACTTTTTCTTTTTTACTGCTGCTTCTGTTACTACTGCTACTGCTACTTTTACTTTGAGACCACATTCAGCAGACATACGCTTGAAGTCGGCTGTGGAAGCTATCCACATCAGACCGCTGAAACTCCATGCATTGCTGTAACTTTCCGGTTGTCTTACTCATTTTCGGTCTGAATGCATGAAGTTATAGGAATATGTTCTCGTGAGATCGATCGGTGTGGAGTTTGCCGAATTGGCTTGTGTTTGTTTTGTGTGTTTGTTTTTGTAGTTTTTAGCTGTTTCTAAATTTATGAATGCCATGTGTAACTGTGGTGTTGTAAGAAATTGGCAACGAACGGTTTTGGCGATTTTTAAAAAAAATCACGAAATTTTTCCATTGGACCTTTTGAATTTGGCCAGAGATAGCAGGTGTTTCATGTCGAGTTTCAAATAACTTAACGAGTGAATCCTCATCCAATCCTCCATCGTTCGATACTTCTTGCATAAGTTTTTCAAATCATCAGACATGTCCTGATCAATATTTGGTAAAATAAAACTTAGAAAACAAACGTTTTTCGATCGTCAGACGCAAACTTGTGAGTGTTAGCTTTAACTGATTGATGATATTTATAAATTTTCAATATTTTTATACTATATATTAAACACAATTTCAGTAAAAACATTTTGATAAAAATAGAATGAAAAATTTTCTCAAAGCCAACAGCTAAATCATTGGTCTGATTAACATGGGTGACAAGCTCTCTCTTATCAACGTAACTGTTTCCCACATCTGCAGCATTCCAATTATTAATCCAATCTTTCTTTTTATTATTATTATTACTATTATAATTATTATTTTTACTATAATATTTATTTTTATTATTATTATTTGTGTTTTTGAATTTGACGTTGTGTTTTTCATTAGATCTGCTGCTGTTGTTGTTTCTTGCGTGGTGGTTGTCGTTGTGGCGGCCAGTAGTAAAGGCGAGGCGGTCGTCGTGTGGCGTTTTTTCGTGTCTGTGTGACTTTTGTTCAGTCCCCTGTGGTTTCTTACTTGCTTTTGTTTGTTTACCTAAATCTGTTTCATTGAATATTGTCAGTGGTTGTGGCTTTCCTTTTTGCACTGGTTTCCTTATAAACAATTTTTATATAAATTTATATTTCAATGATTTTATTTTATCTCTTAACGTTTGTTTATAATACTGTTTCCTATACCAACAACAACATATTATATTTAGAATCTAGTTACTTAAATTTTATTTTCTTATTCATACATTCATTCATCCATCAATTCATACACTAATTCATTTTTTGTATGATCTAATTCACAATTTTTTAAATAATTCACCTCTGTGTTGAGTTTCTTGTACTATAATCTCTACCTTCCAAATTATTACTAAGCATGGAATCATCAAAATCAAACATACTGACTGTTCGCAGTGTTATATTACTTATTAATATGATCTTTTCTTAATAAAATCGGATGCTAAATTATAAAAATTGTATTATTTTAAATGCTAATTTCTAAAAAATAAATAAAACATTCGTTTTATTGTTATTTTATTCATATAAAATGAATTTATTCATGCCATTTAAATAGTTGACAGGTGCTCGTTGTTATAGAAACATTGCATTTTATGTAGTGTTAGAAGTTTTCTTTTCGTGAAGAAATATAACAAATTTTGCAGTTAATTAGCGTGAAATAATTAAAATAATTATTTATTATTTAACTTTTTTTTAATATTAGTACTATTTTGGTTAAAATGACAAAGTTTTAATTGGTTTTATAAAAGACAATTAGCACATCGCTTTTTAAATGACTACCAAATTGTTCAGCTGAATAAATAAACAAGTAAAAAAAATGGCGTCGATGGAAGTAATTTGTTTTCAATTTTATTTCTCATTATTTTATTGTTTTATTCATTTTTTATTCATGTTTTATAATCATTGGTAACTATGAAAGTTTGTGAATTATTTTTTATAATTTCAAAGCAACTATAATAGGCTGTATGATCTTCTAGCTTCATACCTATTTTCAAAATCACAAATCTGCCAAACCAAATGTCTGAAGATGGGAAATCCAACTAAATTACCAGATAAATAAAAATTAATTAATAAATGGAATGAATTCATATCGATTATTTTCCATCTTTATTCTGTTTCTAATTTAAAAAATTAACTCTACTTGAAAATCAAAATATTTGTGAAAATCTCATTGATTAACATTAAAGAAAAAAGATTAATAACACTACGACTACAGCTATTAAAATTTATATATGAAATAAAAATAAATGAACATTTTTCCTTTTTGTTCGACATTTACGTTTTCTCACTTTTGTTTTTTATTTGAAATGTTTAAATTAAAAACATTCCAAACATTTTTTCAATTTGTAATTGTCAAACTTTCAAACATTTTCATACTTAGAAACGTCTCCAGAGGGAACTGCAGGCCCTCATCCGTGATCCACCAGAGGGCATAAGCATCAACCCTGATAAAGTGACGGAAAATCTGGCAGAGTTAGTTTTTAAGAAAATAAATTCATCAAATAGGAACATTCGTTTATTTTCATCAAGAAATATTGATAATTATAAAAATAATATAAATAAAAATATAAATGAATAATTATATTTATATTATGACCATAATTTAGGTGGATAGTTGATTTGTGTGGAGCAGCTGGTACATTATATGATGGTGAAACATTTCAACTACAATTCAAGTTTGGCCCGAGGTATCCATTCGAGTCCCCGGAGGTGATGTACTGTTTTTTTTGCATATTTTAGTGTATTTTTTGTTTGTACTTTGTATGTGTATTGTGTATGTGTGTATATTATTGTATTTTTTATATATCCAACCTTTTAATTTACATTTTAAAATGTTTTTATGTTAATGTGTTTGTAATAGTGTGTGACGATGTATATTTTTGTGTGTGTGCGTGTGTGTGTGTGTATTAATAGCTGAAATACAAACAAATTATAAAAGGTTGTATTCATCGGCCCCAACGTACCAATCCACCCACACATCTACAGCAACGGACACATCTGCTTGTCCATCCTAACTGATGACTGGTCACCTGCTCTCTCTGTTCAGGCTGTCTGCCTCAGTGTCGTCAGTATGCTAAGCAGCTGCAAAGTTAAGGTAGTACTAAAATCGTCAGTTTTGATCGGTTGGCTGGTCGGTTGGTTAATTGGCTGGCTGGTTGGTTGGTTGATTGATTGATTGATTGATTGTACCTCGTTGATTGGCTTGCTGAATGAGATATGTTGGCATTGTAATCATCTAATGTTCACTGTAACACATTCCTGAAACTCCAAAGAAGAGACCCCTGGACAATACATTTTATGTAAAAACCTGCAGTGACAATCCCAAAAAAACAAGATGGTGGTATCACGGTTAGTCTCGCGACGATGATGATGATGATGATGATGGGGATTATATCAATGGTGATGGCGAGTGTGATGATGGCGATGATGGCGATGATGATGATGATGATGACGTCGATGATTCTGATATTGATGACGATGAAGGTATATTTCACCATTTTTTTTCAATCTCAGATGATTCAGTCTAGAAGGTAGACAATAATAGGTTAGATGGATAGCTTGTGCTTGGACAGACATTTTCAACAATAACATTTTTGTATTGTCATATATATATATATATATATATATATATATATATATATATATATATATATATATATATATATATATGCAAATAATAATATCACGTTTGTTTAATTTAATATCTCTACATTTACAATTTCTTATTAAATACAAATTTTTTGATAGTCTGTTTTTGTTTTATTAAATCTTCCTGATTCTGTTTCTATGTGTTTGTGTTTGTTTGTTTGTGTGTATATGTGTGTGCATGTTTGTGTGTTCGTGTGTGTTTGTTTATTTATGTCATGCAAGTATTTAATCGTCTAGCTTTTGATTGGTTGGTTGGTTGGTTGATTGGTTGGTTGGTTGGTTGGTTGATTGATTGATTGATTGATTGATTGATTGATTGATTGATTGATTGATTGATTGATTGATTGATTGATTGATTGATTTATTGATTGATTGATTGATTGATTGATTGATTGATTGATTGATTGATTGATTGATTGATTGATTGATTGATTGATTGATTGATTTGATTGATATCTCCCTTGAAATTAAACAATTGACAGCCATGCCAACATTATTCATACGATATTATGATATTGTGTAGCACAGTGAACAATAACAAAAATAACAGTTATTATCATTGTTATTGTTGCTGTGAGGTGATGAATGAATAAACGAATGAATTAATAAATGAATGAATTAATTAATTAATAAATGAATGATTGAATGATTGATTGATTGATTGTTACTTAGGCTTATTCCGTGGTAATAATAACACTTAAAGCATTCTAAACGAACTTATGTAATTAATATTAAGGTAGAATTAGAATACAATCTTCTTGTACCACTTCTACTACAACTACTACTTATCCTACTAACTACTACTAATACTGCTGCTGCCTATACTACTACTACTATTACTACTACTACTATTGTGTTAATATGCAACGTATTAATACCATTAATACTACTATAATTTATTATACTATGTTAATATTACTAATAATAGTAGTTGTAGATGACGATGATGATGATGATGGCGATGATGATAATAGTAACAGCAATGGCCATTGTTTAAATTAATTTTAGATACATACACACACGCATACATACATACATTCATACATACATTCATTCATTCATACATGCATACATTCATCCATACATACATACAGACAAACAGACAGACAGACAGACATGCATATTACTTATTTTTCATTTATCAAAATTTTCCATCCATTCATTCATTCATTCATCTTTATTTTTTTCGTTGTATGTTCATTAGAGTTTATATCATTTTTATTATTATTTTATTATTATTATTATTAATTCTATTTATTGATTTAAAAAATTTTTTTTTTGAGTAATAGATGATTTGATGTCATGAGATCTAAAATGTCGTATGCGTCATATAGAACTTCAGCAAAATAATAATAATAACAGTAATAATAATAACTTTAATAATAATAATAATTTATAAAAATAGCAAAATAATAATAAATGAAGATAGGGTTTCGAGAAGTTTTAAAAATAATCATATGAAACGGTCGTTAATTTGTTTTTTTTATTCGTTTTTGTTGTAACTTATTGCCCAATGAAAGCGGGCTTATTGACGAGAGTTTCATAATTCTAGATCACCTTTTATAAATTTTCATTCATTCATTTTGGAAAATTTGAAATTAGTTTATTAAATTTGAGATGATCGTTATTTTGAAGAAAGAGTGTTTCTAGTTTTCTTGGTTCGGCTTCATAGATACTCCGACTTTGTTGACAGAATTTTATTTCCACATGAATCATGTGATATGGAGTGGTGTGGCAGTAAAGGACTTCGTCTTGAATTTCGCTGATCGAGTTCGAATACTAGAGAGGTTTCTGGCTATGTATGATGTGTTTATTCGGTCCAGTTTTTTGACTGCTTATAAATAAAAACCCAAAATTTTCAGCAAATATTAAAAAATATTTTTCTCCGAATAATAAAATCTAGAGAAATAATTACAAAAAATTTATGAAAAGATAAAAAAAATGAACATATGTGATTGCGAATCGGTGTATAAAGAATGTGTTTGGAAGAATAATCTTAAAAATTATTTAAGTACTACTATATACGAAGAAAAAATTTTCGAAAAAAATCACAGGGTTCATGGATTTTAAAAGGAATAAAGGAATTTAGTGGCATATGTACAATAAAGCGAGATAAAGGTTGGGAAAGATGCGTTGCATAAAAACTAGATTAACTAGATTGTAGGTAATCTCATCTTCTAGAGTATTCTTGGTTTCTATTTAAATAAAAAATCGCGGGTTGTTATTACATACGAAAAATGAATTTGTGTGCTTGTGTGTGTGTGTGTGTGTGTGTGTGTGTGTGTGTGTGTGTGTGTGTGTGTGTGTGTGTGTACTTGAAGGTGTGTCTGTTTCCTTCTTGTGTGTATGTGTGTGTGCGTGTGTATATTTCCGGTTTAACAAGCGAAAAACGTAGAAATAAGTGTCCATAAATCAATATATACAAATATATGAAATTTTTTCGATTTTAAAAATTGTATAAAAGAAATATTATTGTCAAGGTTCAGGCACATTAACGTAAACAAATAAATGATAATACTAACAGAAAATGTTCGTTCAAAAAAAAAGTCGGAAAGAATTAGCATTGATTGAAAGAATGAGTGAGTAAATGAATGAATAAACGAATGAATGAAGAAAAATCAATTAAAATTAATAAACAGCAATTAACACGTGTAAAAAGCAAATAAAATCTTACAGAACAAAATACATAATAACCTTAAAAACTGTTATATGTATATATATTCTTATTCATATACTTATATATATATATATATATAAACTGTTATTCATATATATACATACAATCATATAAGTACATATACTATTACACTAAACTGTTAAAGAGATAAAACTATATATATATATATGTGCGTGTGTGCGTGTGTGTGTTGTGTGTGTGTTTATCAAGATTCATTAGCAAAAGCTAGTAGTACAACTGACATTACGTTATAGCTAACTGTACTAATAAATTTAAAAAAAAATCACTTAATACATTAATTTTTTCGTTTTTATTTTTGGTAAATTAAACAAACAGTAGATAAATAATATTACAGCAATTTTTTTTCATATACCTGGGTCAATTAAAATCGCTATGTTAAATATAAGCTTATATTTTATTGAGCAAAATTCTAAATTTAATGTTGAAACAACTACACGAAGCAAGAAACACAGGACTAGTGCTATCACTGATGAATTATGGTGATTGATACATAGATTGGGGTGGAACAATAGCTTCCACAGCTGTGAAAAATCAATCTTTGAAAATTTAAAGTTTTAAAATTCAATGACAAAAATTGAAAAATAATTGATGAAAATTAAAATGAAACAGATGTGCTAGCATAAAAACGTACAATGATTGAAAAATTTTTGAGAATTGATGTTATTATTGCGTTGGTTGTCTAAAATGTAAACTGAAAATCACTGGCAGATCGTGAATATTCAATGTAAAATAATATTGAAAGAGATGACTATGAAAATGTTTAAAACAAACTGTCAAGCATATTTGTCTTTTACACTTTCAGTTTCACTTTCAGTTTCGGAAAATTGCATCAGACGCTTCCGTTGTATGAGCTGGCGATGAGTTGTGGGGTGGTGGGAGGAAAGGATGAAAGGTCGAGAACGTTGCATGCGTTGTTGTCCATCAAACAATTTATCTCTTCTGCCACTAACTCTCCGGCCGAAACTTTGTTCAAACCATCGCCTGTTAGGTGGATGCAAGTGTTATTTAAGTCTTAAAAGACTCAAACTTTTATTGAATTTGAAAATTTTAAAGTTCTTCAAGCACTCACAATGCCCTTTTCCGAGAGCTTTGACGATAAGCTTTCCATCAGTAGTGAGTCCGGCGCGAAGAGAGTATGTTTCAATACGTTCGGACAGCTCAAATTCTTTCGTGAATTTATTTTTCACAAGTTTCTCTGGAGTTCTCTCCTCGTGTCTGGCTTTTACCCTTATGCGATTGTCTTTGATGATGAGAATTGTGATTTCCTTAGCTCCAAACGCCAGCCCGATATCAAGGACCAGAGTCATCTTTCTTCTTCCGCCGCTCGCCGAATCTTCGTCGTTGTGGAAGTAAACCTGACCTCGTTTCTCGCGTTTGAAAGGGCTGGAGCAGTTGGTTGGAGTTGCCGGTGGAGAGCCAGAACGAATGGAGACACTGGAGGAGACAGCAGCCGTGTTTGTCAGAGTGGCGTTTGATTGTTGGGCGCGTGACGGGCTGGCGTGGTTGCTCGTTGTCTTGCGCAGTCCCAAAGATTTTGGTGGCAGTGGGGCTTCGATGATTAAGATGCCATCCGTTGTCAGGCAGGATTTCAATTTCGTGTGATCTACTCCGGCTGGTTTTTCTATTTTTCGTTCAAATTCTTTTTCGACGGGATCTCCTGTTTCGTTGCATTTGACTTGCTTGGTTGCCTTCACGGTGATTCTGCTGTTGTCAGCTGTCACCTGGTTTGATAATTGTGTTTGGAGTTTATTTGCAATAAAATTGTTTCAACAATTTTGTTTGGATTTCGTTAACAAAAATTTTGATTCTAAACCTAAATATTGTAGTGTAAATACAGTGTTGTATTGTAGTGTAAATATTTTCGAACCATCAATCTATAAATGATTAGGTTCAATAGCGAGTAGCGGCAACATTCATCTAGAGAAATAAATTTTAAACAGATTGGTTATTCTCAAATTAACATTTAAGAAACTTACATGAACATTCTCAGGTTCAAAATCTGAGACATCGAACCTCAACTTGTACCTCAAACCGGACCCAGGATACTCCATGAACAGCGTTTTCATTTTCTTGCTGTCTAAGACATCCGTACTTCCTCTTCGTTTCGCGATCAGGTCGTCATCTTTTCGAATGAAACCAACCTTAGTGAGAGATGTATTCGACGGGGTGGATGTGATGCCACCGTTCGCTTGTTGCTCTCCTGATGAATGTCTGGAGTGTTTTTGTATCTGCGTTAGTTGGTAGTGAGAGGGCGAGTTGGTGCAAGAATTGCCCCCAGAGTCACTTTTTGTCTCATCACTCGGTTGGAGATGTAGGAATTCTTCCCGCATACGCTCCACGTCCTTCTCCCACTCCCTCTTGCGACGTTTCGCTTCATCGTTCACAAATTTCTCCATCTCTTTCATTCTTTGCGTCTGTCTGTCGTCAAATGTGAGAGCATCGTGAACCACGGGTACCATGTGGCCTGCAAATCAAATAATCCGGCACTCAGGTGTTCACTCATTTCAAAAATATTTAAGCAAAAACCTAACAATACTACTCTAGTTTTTGAGATGTTTCAATTTTCTAACCGAGCATTTGTTGAGGGGGAGGGTGTTGGGCCGTTTCCGTTTGGCCGCCATTGTGATGGGGACTGGAGGTGCTTTCCATTGGATGAAGTTTGGTGGTGAAAAATGTTTTTGATGATCTTTAGTTGCTATTTGCGATATCTTAAATGATAATTCCTAGAAACTGTTTGCGTGAAGTTAACTAATTATTCAGACCTTCAAATTTTCGATTTGGTTTTTCTAAAAATTTATAAATCCTCGGCAAGAAAAACTTAACGAAACGACCATTTTATGGATTTCATTCTCCCATTAACAGATACCAGCCAAATTAATGTTAATGCTTCTACACACAAGCGTCCAAAGACAAAATGCTATATTAATCTATTGTTATCTTAGAAAACATTCATGCATGCCAGCGTGTATTTGCGTGTACGTCTGTGTACACGCTACAAAAACAAAAACGTACGCGTTTAATGGTATTTAATAACATCGTTAGCGCTCCTCTGGGCTAAACAAGCAATTCTACGGCTTGTTTGTCAATACATTTGGTTGCCTGGTGCATCTTTATTTTGTGCATGCATGCATACATACATACATACATACATACATACAGACATACATACATACATGCCTACATACATACATACATACATACATACCTACATACATACATACATACATACATACCTACATACATACATACATACATACATACATACATACATACATACATACATACATACATACATACATACACACCAGTATCTGCGCATGCCTATGTATGCCTATGTATCTGTACGAACGTATGTATATTGAATACACGTATCTAGAAAGGCATTCAGTTGTTTATGTGCCTGCATCATTTTCTTTCTACGCGTTTGTTTGATTGAATGTGGTCACTGGTGTATGACTTGGAATGAAAGAATCAATGCAATGAAAAACATGACCGACGGTTTCATCACGAGCACTTTCAATCCAATCCGAAACGCAAAATCACCAGCGTATGAAATTCTAGTTTTGATGAATTTTTGAAAGTTTCATTAAAATTTCTTCAGTAGGTTATTTAATAAGTTACTAGCGGTTTTTCGATGTTCTGAACAAAACTATAGATAGCTTAATAGGTTGATGAATAAATAGTTAGAGGAATTAAATGAAAGAGTGGAAGAAAGGAGAGAATTCTTCATTAAAGATGCAACTCATGTGTTCACAGCCACATACACACATACAAGTACACACATACAGACAAATGCAAACGGATACACATACATATACAAATGTCTGTTCATCAATAAATGTAGCTTGTACGCCATGACAGCATGGTTGTATACATTGCTTCCTCCATGCTTCGTCTGTTTGGCTAGCTGGCGAGGACGATGATGACGACGATGACAACTTTTAAAATGTAAAATTTAAAATGTAAGACTTTTAAAATCTTTCAACTAGAGGGCTTAAGATTTTATTGGTTTGATGCTTGCGGTTTTATAAAACATGTCAAAAAATTAAACTTTTCAGAATCACATGCAATGTTTGGACTATTAGAACATCACATCAGCGTGATAACGTAACATGATAGGAAGTATAAAAAGTGCCAACACAAGTTCCTAGGCCTCAACAGAAACAACTCAATGCAATAATCCAAATACAAACTAGAAGACCCCCATAAAGTTCACGCAAATAAAGAATATTAATAGAATAAGTGATATAAGAAACGAGGGTCAGGTTAATGTAAATCAACTTGATCAGTCCTAAACTAAATTCACGTGTCAATTTTTTTGAAAATAAAACCGATCAGTTATTTAAGAAATATCTTAGAATATTTTTGTTGATTCTTTCCGATAGTAGCTATGTATTAATGTAACTAATATAAGAAAATATAATTGTATTTTCAGCTTTGATTTTTTTCTAGTTCAATTTGATCAATGTTTCATTGAATCTCAACTTTGTAATGTAGAAAATGAAGTTTTCAGCTACTCTTATGTTCATTTTTGTCTTTTACTGAAAACACTTATTTCGGTAATCTGTTTTTAAGTTGATTTTTGTTATTATTGTTATTGGGATTATTATTTGTTATTGTTGTTACTCACACATATCTGCTTACATTTATACACACACATACAAATATAAATACAAACAAACAAACATACATACATACATACATACATACAACTTGCATACATCCATACAAACATCGCGTTGTATGTTTTTGTTGTATATTTACTTTTCAAATTTTTAAATGATGAAGTATTTGACAGTTTTCAAAAGAAACACAATCAATTATGTTATTTTCAGTTAATGGAGGAAAAAATTTCATTCAACAATTAATGGCTTTGACTTTTCAGTTATTTGAAATTTTTTTAAATAAATAAAATAATAAACATATGTAAATTTACAACACATACGTATGTATGTATGTGTGTGTCTATATGTATGTATGTATGTATGTATGCCGTGTGTATGTTTTTGTGTATGTGTGCATATGTGTATGACGTTTTTGTGGGCTATTGTCCAGAAAGGGGGGAAGAGTTCGACCACTGGCCCGTGGAATCTGGCGAGGGTGTAGGGTACAAGTTATGATGGGTGTGGTTGACTTGTGGGTTCCAGTAAGATTCCATCATTTGTTGTTGTCGGTGCTGTTGTACATTCACGTTGTTGTAATTTACGTCAGCTACTGGTACGCTTAAATGTGTCAGTTGTTGTTGGTTGCTGTTGATGTTGCTGATGAATCCGCCGTACGTCGTTGTGTTTAGTTGTTGTTGTGTTGTTAGTTGAGCTTGTTGTTGTTGCTGCTGCTGTTGTTGTTGTTGTTGTTGTTGTTGGGCCATTGCTTGCCTGTGTATATTAGATGTTGTTGTTGATTTTTTTTTATTTTTGCTCTGTTTTATAGTAGCAGAGTTGCAATCTGCAACGCTTGGATTCACCAGGACAGAATTCATACCGGGCCCATAGCAACTCGAGTAAGTGAAACCCATGTTAGGGCCTAGGAGGGGTGGCGATGGCAAGAATGGAGTGCCATTTGATTTGCCAATGTACACCATCTTCTTCTCATTGATAAAATTGTCATTCTTGTGCAAAGAATCCGTATGATGGTGGTGTTGGTGCTGGCTGGGGTAGAAGACATTATCACTTGCGTCATGCCAGTAATGTAGGTTGGGGTCCTGGTGCCAGGCGTCAGCAGGCAGGTTGTAGCATGCCGATTCGTAGGGAGGAGGCAGCATTTCACAGGTCATCATCGACTTCTGTCGGTTGAAGTTTCGCTCGTTCAAATCTCGGGCGTTCAACATCAGCAGGGATTGAGACTCGTGTGTATCGACTTGATCCACTGACTTTTTCTTCGAACTCTTTTTCTGTTTAATGCGATTAAATTTTTAATTTAATTCTTGTGAAAAGTCAACCAACGCAAACATTTTTTTAATTTAAACTTTGCAGAAATTGAGCGAACTTTTGAACTGGGTGCATCCGACTCGTTGTTGGGCCTCCTTTCGGCGTTGATTGACTTGAGCAGAGGTGTCATGGATGACGTTGACGACTGCAAGAGCATCGGTTGCTCTTCCTGTTCTCGCTTCAGATGCTCATCAATGAGTCGAACGATCTCGTGAAACATTCCTTTCCTGGCCATGGTTTGAGGCAGCTGATCCAAGTGATCCGTTATGTCGATTGCCACTTTATACTTGAGTAGCAGTTTCACAGTCTCCACACTGCCCTCCCTGCACGCTGCAAAGAAGGGAGTTTCGTCCTGGAGATCCTGTGCGTCCTTGTTTGCTCCCTTCTCTAAGAGGATTTGAACCGCTTTGTGGTTGTTCACTGAAGCCGCCCAGTGCAGCGCCGTCTTGCCTGTTGATCAATCGTTGCAAGGATTGTTAGGTGGATAATTAATTGATATTAAACGTCTTGTCGAATGACTGTCAATATTTGAAGCGTCATTTTTAATACTAACAATAGCATGGAGGGTACATTTATAATTGTCAATACATTGAAAATTGAAATAACCATTATTGTCAGCGACGTTGATGTCTGCATCGGCCTCGATCAGTTCCTCTACAACATCCTCCAGACACAACTTGACCGCCAACATCAGTGGTGTCGTGCCGTCTGCTGTCTGGGCGTTGATTTTCGTAGCCCTGTGACGCAACAACACCTGTGAAAAACATATCCCGATTTATCGTTACGTTATTACTTAAATTTTAATTGAAAGGCTGTTTACACGTCTGCACACTGTTTATAAGCTGTTAAATTGCAAATAAAATGTTGTTCATTCATGCATGCACGCTTACTTTGAAAACGCCTCTGGAGTCGGCGGCCACCGACGAATGCAGCGGAGTCCTTCCGTTGCAATCCTGGGCGTTCGGATCGCCACCGGCTTCCAATAAATTTTTTGCTGCCTCTGTTTTCGAGTGCCGAGCTGCTAAGTGCAGAGGCGTTTCCCCTATTGGAATTTAAAATAAATAATATTTGGTTTGAAATTTCAAAATAGGTTAAAAATAAAATAAATGCGATAACATTGAAAAAAATTAACGCCGAAACATCGATTAAAAATAAATCAATGAGGGAATCCCAACCAGTTCTATGGGTGGTGGCATTGACAGCAGCTCCTTGGTTGATGAGGCTGAATATCATGGCAGCCCCATCGTCATCCAGATCGGTCGAGCCTGTGCTATCCGAATCAGGCACCGACCTCTTGCACTTGGCCGAAGATGCCAACATGAGGGCCGTGTAACCGTCGGGCCCTCTGGCGTCCACTGAATCATCTGCGTTCAAATTTCTGCCAGGTAGGAAGAGTTTGTTGTCTTCGTTGATTGGCGATGGCAGGCCGAGTTGGTCGCCATCTTGTGAGGGTGGGGTGGGTACTGAGATAGCGTTCTTCTGCGTTATGCCGGCTGCCATCAAGTGCCTCTCCGACCACTTGCGTTTGCTGTCGTTCACTTGTTGCTGGGGGTGAACGTTTTCAGTCTGAAATGAAGTTTGGCCTATTAAAATGCATCTACTTTAAGAAAGTCGATTTTAAAATTTATTGTAGATTGAGATGATTTAAACGAATGCAACGTTTGTTTGAAAGCAACCTCGTTATGCCTGGCTATGCCGACAGCACATGTTTGCTCAGCTACTGGAGTCATCAATTCGGACTGCGTTCCTTCCCCGTTCGCACCAGTTGTACTGCCAAATAAAAAAATAAAGCAAATGTAGTTTGGGGCTAAAATTCTCGTAAAATTTTTAAATAACAAAATAAATTTTTATTTAAAAACTAGAAGAATATAAAATTTACTTGATATTTTTAGAGTCCATTTCGAGAGAGGGGACGCAGCGTTTGAAGCCTACTGGGAACCAAGTGGAACCTCTCGCAATTTTCTTCTGTGATTTGTACAACACGAAACCAAGAACAGTAATCAGTGCCACCGAGCAGACGATCAAAATAATGAAGGTGATTGGTTGCTGGCTTGTTTCGCCACCCCCGTCGCGATGGGCTGTAAGGAAATGTCGTTCATTTAAAATCGCGTGTGTATTGTTTCAATTCTAAACTATAGTTGGTGAATACATATTAAAGTTTTGTAATAGAATAATTTGAAAGATACTTACAAGAAACGGAGTAGATGGGAACGATGGGCTTCCATCCTTTTCGCATAGACTGGGCGATAAATTCAGATGCCGTTTCACTGGAAGAGAAGCAGTTGTCCACGCATTTCGTGTTGTCAAGTTTTATGTGGATTTTACTCCTAAACATATTTTTAAAAACTTTTTAACAATTTTTTCATTAAATATTGATAAAAAAAAATTAGTTTTTAACGAAAAATAATGAATTTAAAAATGGTTAACACGAACCCTGCTATGTCGTCAGCAGATCTTTTGCGACGAGTTGCTTGTATGGAGAATAACATGAACGTTGTGTTAGATTTGACATTTGGGACTATTGCACACGGGTGAATAAGTTCTTTCCTGCTTTCATCTTTTATTAAAAATGGTGTATTTCCGAGAAGAAGTCCGAGACTTCTCAGGAACTTCGATGCCACGTGCCGAAAGTAGTCAGGCGTTGCCACCAGCGTTAAGATCAAAGTTCCCTCTGCGATGTTCTTGCTCTCCAGACTTGCGTCATGAACATTTTCACAATCCATTCCGTCCCAGCCACATTCTGCTGTGTTGCAGCCTAAGAAATTTTTATTTGAATAATATTTTAATTTATTTTTTAAATTTTTTCATTTGAATAGTATTTTACTTCATTTTTATATTTTATTAAAAGAAAATTATTTGTTTTTTTACCCTGGTCGCAAAATCCATCAGCGTAATGATTGGAGCAGTAAGATTCGTAAAGTAGATCGCACGTTCTCTTCGGCTCAGGCAGGCAGTCCATTCCATCGTACAAGCAAGATTCATCCATGCACGCTTCGTCACACACGCCGTTCTGAAACAATTTGTTGCAATCTACGACGTGGCTTCGTACGGCACTGCACGAGTGGTAGATGTGGCTCTTGTAGCTGCAGTCGTAACCGTCGTAGTTGCATTCCGCGTAGTCACATTCCTTCTGTGAGGTGCAAAATATTTTTTGGTTAAGAAATTCAGATTAAAAATAAGATAATTGATAAAATTTAACTATAATTTATAAAAAGCACTAAACAACAGCTGACAATCACATATAAAAAAATACATAACCAACATCACAAATTCCATTGCCAGCTTTAGCCGAGCAGTTGTTGATTGCACAGTCCGGGTGTTGGATTTGCTTAGAAGAGGCCATCACAACATCCTCCATGTACCCCACACCGCCCTTGAAGTCGCTATCAAACACCTCGCAATTGAGTCCGTTCCAGAACTGCGCGCAGACACACGTGTAGTGGGACAGCCTATCCTGGCAGGTGCCTCCATGCTGGCAGGGGTTGGAGAAACATTCATTGACCACATCGTACTGGCATCTCTCCCCGCCTATTCCGATTGGACATTCGCACTGGAAGGCTTGCTTGTTTGATTGGCACGTTCCACCGTTCAGACACGGATTCGTGTTGCACTGTGTGTGCTTGTACTGACATCTGTCGCCAGAGAAACCCTGGTTCGTTTGTGGATTAAAAGAACGATAACGTACATGGATAATGTGCTTGCATTGCATGTAAGAGTGTGTTTTTTGTATGAATAAAAATCAGAGTTCAAAATATTTTAACGCCTTATCAAAATCCGTCCGCGATAATTAAAGATAATAATATTGTAATAGCATCATAATAACATCAGAACGTGACAAATGAGAACACAACGTCAGGCGATGACATCATCATCAAACCTTCTGACACATGCAGTAGTAGGAGTTGTTGAAGCTCTCCACGCACGTTCCTCCATTCTCACACATGTGCGCAATCTTCGGCAGCGAGCAAATTGAAACTCTCCTCTCGCACTGCTTGCCACTCCAACCTATCCTACACAAACACTTGTAATCTCCTGGCAGCTGGACGCAATCAAATGAACCGTGAAGAGAGCAAGGGTTGGAGGTACACTCGTTCAAATCTCCTTCACACCTCGGCCCACTGAATCCCGGCGGGCATATGCATTCGAACCCGCCTACTTTGTCTCTACATGAGCCGCCGTTCAGGCAGGTGTCTTTGTGGCAGTCATTCACGTTGATCTCGCAAAGGAGGCCCTCCGTACCGTGGGGGCAGGAACAGTGGAAGGTGTTCACCATGTCGTGGCAGGTACCTTCCCGGGGAGAGTTCGGTGGAGTTGTGTTTTGAAACATGAGCAAGGTTGTTTTTGAAAAATAATTTAAATAAATTATTAAAATTAAAATGATGTAACACGATGTTGTCCTATGAGGTTATAACTTTAAACAAAACAGTATTAGAAATGTTAGAAACGAACTTGAATTGAACTGAAACACATCAAACTGCATCACACTCGCAAGATTTTTTGTTTCTACCTTTCATACTTTTGACAACGTTGCCAAAAAAATTGTGTGGATTAAAAGACTCACCGAAGTTTTGACAAGGATTGTTCTCGCAGTCATCAATGTTCATTTCGCACTGAGTGCCCTGAAAGCCTGCAGGACACAAGCACTCGTACGCGCGCACTCTGTCGAGACAAGTTGCTCCATTCCTGCAGGGCATTGACAGACATTCATCTGTTTCAATCTGGCAGTAGCTGCCTTCAAACCCGGGTCTACAGGCACAGTGGTGCGTGTTGCCGACGTCTGAACACGTTCCGCCGTTTTGACATAACTCTTCTACTGTTGTCTCTGCGTTTGAGTTACGTTTAAAAATTAATTTTAAAATTGAAATGCGAAAAAGTCATTCAAACTAATGAAATACAAAAAAACATACTTTTAGCAGTTGCAGCCGCGTGACACGACACCATCCTGACGTCACAGAGAGCGCCACTGAAGCCACTTCGACACTTGCACTCGAACTGATTGACGAACGACAGGCAGGTGGCCCCATTCCAGCATGGCGCCCGGGCGCACCAATCAACAACCTCCTCGCATCGAGGGCCCGTAAATCCTTTTGAGCAGTAACACTTGGCAAATGATTTGACGACTTGGTTGAGGGTGCGGTCCTCGTTTGAGTTGATGTCCAACACTGAAACGCACACTCCTGAATTCAAGCAGAGATCCGGATGTTGCTGGCACGAGTCCAGCCTGTGTTGGCAGTTGGATCCTGTGTAGCCGGGAGCACAGACACATTTGAAGCCGTTCACCTGGTCTACGCAAGTGCCGCCGAACAGACAGGAACTGTTGCAAGTTGTTGCCAATGTCTTACAATTATTATTAAGACCAGTTGAAAATTTTTTAAAAATCAATTTAAATATAACTTAATACAAAATTTTAAAAAGTTAATGAGCTCATGAAACCTGTCAGTGCAGTCGTCATCATTGGTCTGGCAGAGAGTTCCACTGAAGCCACTGATGCACTTGCAAGCGAACGAGTTGACGAACTCCATGCAAGTAGCGCCGTTGAGGCAGGGAGATGAGTTGCACTCGTTGATGTCATGTTGGCATCTTCTTCCCCCGAAGCCTTTCTGACAGACGCACTCGAAATCCTTCAATCTGTCCACACACTGACCACCGTTCAAACAGGAATCTTCGTGGTTTGATGGTTGGTCGGGTGGTTAATTAATTTAAGTGGTCAGATAATCAATTTAAATGAAAAGATTGAGTATAATATCATTAGTAATTGAATAATAACCCCTAAAATTTAATTTTTGTCTTGAAATGCAGCCCAAACTAACCGGGCATGCAGTCGTCAGGGTTGACCTCACAATTTCTACCCTCGTATCCGATTGGGCACTGGCAGAGGTAGGAACCTTCAGTGTTCACGCACTGTCCGCCATTCATGCACGGCTGGTTTTGAATGCATTCGTCAATGTCTTCAGTGCAATATCGACCTGCGCATGCATTTGTTTGTGTGTGTTTGTGCTTGTCTGTGTGTGTGTGCGTGTGTGTGTGTGCATGTGTGTGTGCATGTGTGTGTGCGTGAGTCGTGTGTTTTCGTACTTGTATAATTTATTTAAATTTCAATCATATGAATACAAACACAAAAAGAGACAAGCAGGAACTCAAAACTAGCCAGCAAACCAACTAACCCGTGAAGCCAGCAGAGCACCTGCAAGTGTAATTGCGATAGAGTGCGTCTGGCAAACATACTCCCCCATATCGGCACTCATTATTTATGCATGGATCGAGTTTGGACTGGCAAAGATGGCCAGTGTAGGGCAGTTGGCAAGAACATTCAAAAGAGTTGACCTTGTCGAGGCATTGTCCGCCGTTGCGACATGGATTAGAAATGCATTCGTTTGTGTTTGTCTCGCAGTTCGTGCCTGTGTTGTTCGTGTTTGTGTGTGTGTGTGTGTCTATATATGTGCATGTATGTGTGAATGTGTAAATTTGTAAAAAAAATAGTGATGTGATAGCCAGATCGATTTAATGTTCTAATGGGGAAGATGTTTTTAAGTAGGGCCAAAATTTTTTATGAATTTTTAATTACGCAAAAATAATGACGTCATTTATGACAACAACAAACTACAAACAAAAAACAAAAGATCAAAAATATAAAAAATAAAAATTAAAAATTAAAATAGCCAGCATACCTTGATATCCTGGCGGGCAGGTACATTTATACATGGTGAACATGTTAACACACGTGGCTCCGTGTTGGCACGGATTTGACAGGCACTCATTCTTGTTTTTGTTGCATCTAAGTCCGTCATATCCTGGCGGACATATGCAATCAAACCTGGAGAGTTTTGGTTAGGTGTTGGAATTTGGGTTGTGTGGGATAGTATTTAATTTAACAAATCTATCCGTTGATGAAGGATCTCAAATCAATCAATTGCTGTTTGTTGATTAAAATGTTATTCATTTACTTTGAAACCGTTGTCATTCGTATATGTTTATCATACATACACTTTCATTAGACTATCAATCAATCAACCAGTCAACCAATCAATCAACCAATCAACAACCAACTAACAAATCAACCAACCAACCAATAAAAAATCAACTAGACAGCCAACCAACCGACCCCTACAGGCCAACCAATCCAACCTGTTGACCCCGTCCACACAGGTGGCTCCATTGTAGCAAGGATTACTAAGGCACTCATCAACGTTCGAGGCGCAGAGATAGTCATTGTAACCTTTCGGGCACTTGCATTTGAATCCGTTCACTCTGTCATAACAGAGGCCGCCGTTCTGGCACGGGTTCGATTCGCATTCGTTCACGTCAGTCTCACACAAGTCACCTGGTGGTTAGTATTTGTCTATAATTTATACTGTCGCTTGTTGAAGTATTGGGAGAAGTAATTGAAGAAGAAATATAACTAAAGTAATAGCTGAATCTTTAGTACTATTCGTTAAGTAGGATAACACCATATCAGTAGTAGCCTAGTAGTAGTAGTAGTAGTAAGTAGTAGTGGTAGTAGTAGTAGTAGTGGTAGTAGTAGTAGTAATAGTAGTAGTAGTAATAGTAGTAGTAGTAGTATTAGTAGTAGTAGTAGTGGTGGTGATAGTGGTAGTGGTAGTAGTAGTGGTATTAGTAGTAGTAGTAGTAGTGGTGGTGATAGTGGTAGTGGTAGTAGTAGTAGTAGTAGTAATAGTAGTAGTAATAGTAGTAGTAATAGTAGTAGTAGTAGTAGTAGTAGTAGTAGTAGTAGTAGTAGTAGTAGTAGTAGTAGTAGTAGTGGTAGTAGTAGTAGTAGCAGTTGTAGTAGCAGTAGTAGTAGAAGCAGCAATACCTAATTTTTGTAGCATTGACGGACGAGATATTTCAAATGTTACAAAATAAAAATGTTTGAATTTGAAAATAAAAAAATGACAAAGAATTTAAAAATGAAGAGCGATAGATAGTGGCCATAAATTAAGCATAGACGTCTGTCCATATTACACACACACTACACATATACACACACAGAGATATTATAAATAATATAAATATATAACAATATTATATAAAATATGATCTCCTTCAAATAAATAAATATAAATATGTATATATATATATATATACATATATATATATATATATATATATACATTTCTGACAGTCTTAATCAAATATATACACTCAAACACACATACACATATATAAATATATATATATATATGTATACGTATATATATAAATTTATCTATTCATTCTTTTATACATTCATTCATTCATTCACCCAATTGATTTATTTATTTATTCGTTCTTTCTTTTGTTCATTTTGTCATCCTTTCATTCATTCATTTTTTCGTTCGTTTGTTCGTTCGTTCGTTCCTTCGTTTGTTCATTCGTTCGTTTGTTTGTTTCGAAACGTCGTTTTAATTTATGCTCATGGTAGAATTTTTATTTGATAGATTCAAACATTTTAAACAGTATGATGGCAATTGCATGTGTGTGTCTGTATGTGTGTGTGTGTGTGATTGTATGTGTGTGTGTGTGTGTGTGTGTGTGTATGTTTGTGGTGTGGGTGTGTGTATGTGTTTATGGCTTCTATATCTATCTGTCTTAACTACTCACTCTTGAAAAATTTGAAACATTTGTAACACTGGATCCAAAAATTTAAATAAAAAAAAATAGCACAAAACTTTTCGGGTGTCGTCGATGAAAAAATTTTGAAATAAAACATTTTGTGTTTGTGTGTGTCTGTGTGTGTGTGTGTATGTGTGTGTGTCTGTGTCTGTGTGTCTGTGTGTGTGTGATGTGTGTGTGTGTCTGTGTGCGTCTGTGTCTGTTTGTCTGTGTGTGTGATGTGTGTGTGTGTGTGTGTATGGCTACTGTATCAATCTGTCTTAACACCAGCAAAATTACACATTATGTGTTTGTGTGTGTCTGTGTGTGTGTATGTGTGTGTGTGACGTGTGTGTGTTTGTGTGTGTTTGTCTGTGTCTGTGTGACTGAGAGTGTATGTGTGTATCTGTATACCCTATTTATAATGTCCAGGGTTTATGAAATATCTACACTAAATATCCAGCATAGCAATGTGATTATTAATGATAAAAGTTTCAATCTAACATCAACAAAAACAACAGCGTTAATAATAATAATAATAATAATAAACTACAACAAAAGTCACCAACTCATGTCAGTGTTGTGCTAATTGTTGCAAGTAAGTTAATTAATATTAATAATAACAATAGGAATAAACAATAATAATAATAATTATTGTTATTATTGTTGTTGTTGTCGTTGTTTTTATGATTATTTTTATCATTAATTTGTATGTAACGTTGAATTTTGAGTCTGCACTCCTCAAAATGAAAGTGAAATATAATTAGTGAGACGAGGGGTCGAACGAAAGAATGAATGGATGGATGAATGAATGAATGAAGGAGTGAGTGAATGAATAAGTAAACAAGTAACTGAATGAACGAATGAATAAAAAAAGATGAATGAATGAACGAGTATACGCTAAAACGATGGAGCGAACGAATGAAGTTTTGAAAAAGTGAATGATTGTATGAAGAATGAATGAATGAATGAACGAACGAAAGAACAACTGAATGAATAAATGAATGAACAAATGAATGAACAAATGAATGAATAGACGAACGAACGAATGAATGAATACCTATAAAGTCTTGAGAAATAATAAAAAAGCCATTTCTCACGCTTGCATACTGTTTCTGAACAGTTAATCAACTTATATAAGGTAAGGTGACGATGTTTTTGCTGTTATTCGTATTGTTATTTTTATAATAATAATTATTATTGTTATTATTAAACTGTTTTTATTATTTATTAATGTCATTTTTGTCTATGAAATTGTAGATTCGTTCTCTATGCCATTATCATTCGATTATATCGCTCTTGATTTTCGCTGCTATTTGTGATTTTTGTTCCTGTTTTTTATATGTTTTTGTTGTTTATATTTTGTTGTCTATGTTTATAGGATGAATTCATGTTATATCATCAAGCTCATTAACAACTAAGTGGCTGTCATTAATTTATTTCGATTCGTTTCGTTTTGTTTCGATACGTTTCGTTTCGTTCTGCGGAATCTTTCACTGGGCTAAGACAATTTCGAATATTAGAGACACATCATCTATCGATATCATAACCATCATCATCGTTATCATCAACGTCATCATCATCATCACCGCAATAATAATAATAATAATAAATATTTTTCTTATTGTTATTACTATCCGTATTATTATTAATATTATGCACCTGAGCTGGCCAATCAAGCGAGTTAATTAACTCATCACATAAAGACGAAAACGAAATGAATGTCACATAAAATTGATTTCTAAGAATTAAGCGGTACACACACACGCACACGCACACGCACAACAACACGCGCGCGCGCACACACACACACGCCCACGCACACACACGTGAATTGATATATCTGTTATATATTGCTGTCAAAACATTTTTACAACCCTCAGTACAAATTATATATTTATAAAAAATTTTGATTCAATGCCTAAATAAATTTGGGTTACAGATTTTTTTTACGCTGGGGAAATTTTCAAAAAAGTGAATAAACATTGCTCATCATTCATTCATTCATTCATTCATTCATTCATTCATTCATTCATTCATTCATTCATTCATTCATTTATTCATTCATTCACTCATTCATTCATTTATTCATCCATAGATTCACCATTCATTCATTCATCCATTCATCAAAAATCACACCAGACAGCCGACACGTCGTATCACAGAATATACTTTGATTCAATCACATTCATCACTTTAACCTTAGAAAAACAATAATAATAACCAGTTAAATATTATTATTGCTATAATTAATTATTATTGTTATTATTAATTATTATTTTTACTATTATTACTAATGGGTGCGTTCTATTTAGCGACGACAATCAGAGTTGTCATGGTAATAGTGACGCGAGTCACTAACGAGATTATGCGGTAGCATAAATGTAAACATCATTACGACGATGGTGATGATGGTGATGATAAGGATCGTCATCATCATCGTCGTCATCGTCATCATCATCATCGTCGTCGTCTTCATCTTCTTCTTCATCATCATCATAGTCATCATTAACGTCATCATCGTCGTCATCTTCATCGTCATCTTCTTCATCTTCTTCTTCATCATCATCATCGTCGTCGTCTTCATCTTCTTCTTTATCATCATCATAGTCATCATCGTCGTCATCTCCGTCGACATCTTTATCACCACCTTCTTCATCTTCTTCTTCATCATCATCACAGTCGCCACCACTTTCTTTCACTCTCGCCATAGTCACGCAACAAACGATGACAAGAAAACTGACTGACTGACTCTTCATTTCTAATAATGCTACGATGAGGAATTATGAATTAAGAAATTTAAATAATGATCCGCTGACGATCTGCCTTTTATTTTTCCCTCCCCTTTACGTATTTCATTACTCTCACTCTTTCTTTCTTTCTTTCTCTCTCTCTCTCTCTCTCTCTCTTTTGTTTCTTTCTAAATCTTTTCTCTCTTTTTCTTTCTTTCTTTCTTTCTCTCTCTCTTGTCTTTTTATATTTTCTTTCTTTCTGTCCTCCATCTTTCTTTCTTTTATTAAATCATTATGCCGACAGGTTATATTTGGCGTAGTTTAAAATTAATGAATGGACATATACTCAAACAAGAACACAAACAAAAAGGCTTGATGTGTAGATGTACATGTATGTGTGTTTGTGTGTTTGTGTGTGTGTGTGTGTGTATTAATGTCTGTATATTGTATGTAAAGAGTTTCTTCAATAAAAGTCAAAACAAACGCGTTATGATATATAACTATGTTTGTCTACCACAAAACTGGCAGCATTAAAACATTCGTCGAGCTATTACACACACACACACACACACACAAACAAACAAACACAAACACACAAACATATTTATATATTAAACAAACACAAACAGACAGGCAAACATAAGTTATTGTATCAGTACCATGTAGCTACCTTTAAAATACTACCAAACCAACACATTTTACAAATAAATTCACATTTTATTAATCAAAAAACACTACGAAATACACAAACAAACACACACACACAAACCTATACACACACACACACACACACAAACCTATACACACACACACACATACAAACCTATACAAACCTATACACACACACACACATACAAACCTATACAAACCTATACACACACACACACACACACAAACCTATATTCACACAAACATACCTACAGACACATAAACACACGCACAGACAAGCACACACACACACACACACACATAAATAGTCAAAATGCTCCTTTGATGTAAGCGGGTAGGTAGTTGGTAAGTCATGTTGACGTTATTGTTATTACTACAACTATGTATAAATATTATGACAGTTATAATAACATTAAAATTATTATTATTATTTTGTTATTATTATTATTATTGTTGTAGTTTGAATGGGCAGATATAATCTTTATAATCTGTTAATACGTTAATAAGCAGGTATTGGTATAACTGATATAATATCAGTTGTATCATCCTCCTATCATCGTATCAAAGTATCACTATTTATCGCAAGGTATTGATGATGATTATTTTGATTAAAAGCATTATTATTTATAATTATTAATATTAACTGTGATATAATAATGTCAATAATTAATTATCAATAATTGCAATCAATCATATCTAGCTTGTTTAATGGGTCGATTGAAAATGACACATTATAAGTTTCTTGTATGTTTGTTTGTATGTGTTTGTATGTTTGTGTGTGTGTTTTTACACGCACGTGTAACATAGATGTATGTATGTTGCAAATATATGTGTGTTTAGTTTACTATTTTGTAGCTCTAATTAGCTTGCATAGTTTGTACGTGTTTGTTTGTGTGTGTTGTGTGTGTGTGTGTGTGTGTGTGTGGTGTGTGTGTGTGTGTGTGTGTGGGAATGCACGTGCATGTATCGATCGTGAACTATGGCACTGAAAAAATGTTCTTTTGTTGTTGCTGTGTTTATTTTTGTCGTCTTTTCGTGTTTGCTTTTTGTTGCTTTTGTTGTTTTGTTATTTGCCGAAATTGGAAAATCTTCTTTGATGTCGTTAATTATAAACGCGTTCGAAATCAATCAATCAATCAATTAATCAATTAATCAATCAATCAATCAAAGAACAATCAATTGACTAATAAATTGATTGATTGTCTAATAAATTCAGCTGATAAAATAACCAACCAACCAATCAACAAATCAACATTCAAACGTATAACAATTAAACCTTTTAACTAAAACTAGTTTACTATCTAAATCACTGGTCAACCAATCATTCAACTAACTGCCCAATCAACCACTCAACCAATCAATCAATCACCCAACTGACCCGTATATCCGGGCTGGCATTGGCAGAAGAACTGATTGATCTTATTGAGACAACTTGCTCCATTTTGGCAAGGATTGCTGAGACATTCGTTTGAATCGTGCTCACATCTTGTTCCTAATGACGACGATGATGATGATGATAATTTAATTGGTGATGCTGCTGATGATTAAAATGACGACGATGCTGATGATGATTCGGATGACAATTCTAATAACGATTTAAACATACAGTTAGCGCATATGAATGCGTTTTCACAAACAATTTTCAAATCGCAAACAAACCCCAAAGTAGCATAATCAAACATACAAAAATGAAACCAACCACATTTTTATTGACTTAATTTTTTAAGACTCGTATAAAAATGTCAGCCATTATTACATTAAACGAAATGCAGTAACACGCATGTATGTGTTATTGTTACAGCAAGACAATTTATGATGAACTGACATCCACGAATAGATATCAATACACAATGTATGTATTGAATGTTATTATTATTATTATTATGTTATAATTATTATTAGTATGTATTGAATGTGTGTTTGTGCCTGTCTGTATCTATTTCTGTCTGTATTTCTGTCTGATTGTATGTATGCATGCATATACTATATATTTAGGTGTATGCAGGCTAACATGAACGTATGCGTAGAGTGCATATTTGTAGATTTAGTTAGATATGTGTAAGAGTGTACAACATATAATTGTGTGAATGTGAGTGTACGTATATGCGTTTTTCAGCGTACGTGTGTGTATGTATGTATGAGTGTGTGCGTGTGTGAGTGTGTGTTTGTATGTGTGTGTTTGTATGTGTGCGTGCGTGTGTGAGTGTGTGCATGTGTATGAGTGTGTGTGTGTTTGTATGTGTGCGTGCGTGTGTAAGTGTGTGCGTGTACGTCTCACATTTTTTTGAAAGCATCAATCAATTGGCGACACCTTTTGACATGTTAAAAGGGGCAAAAAACCGTGATAGCGAGTCATCAATCGCAGTTTGTTGTTTTTAACCACCACTGCCTATCTGTCTGTCTGTCTGTCTGTCTGTCTGTCAGTCCGTCATCATCATTATTATTGTTTGGCAGAAAATTGATAGTGAAATGATAACAAATCACATGATCGCTATATCGACAATGATAATAAATATGATATTGACAATGTGACGATGATGATGATGATGATAATATATTTATGTTAGTTATTATTATTAATATACATTGATAGTGTTGCTCGCTTGCAAATTTTTAATTTATACTGACGACCTCATCATCATCATTATCATCATCATCAGCATCATTATCATCAACAACATCGTCATTAACAACGTCTTCGTCGTCATCATCATCACCATCATCATCACTATCATCATCATCACAATTATGATCATCATTATCAGTGTACCCACCATTAGTTCCCTGAGGACATATGCACTGAAACGATCCAACGAGATCCTTGCAAGTTCCTCCGTTCAAACACGGAGTGCTCAAGCACTCGTTGACCTCGACGTCGCACTTCTGACCAATGTAACCAAGGTCACATTCGCACTTGTAGGAATTCAACTGGTCAGTGCACTTGCCCTTGCCACACCTGACGCCCAGGCAATCATCGATGTCAGAGTCGCATAACTCACCAGTATAACCTTTGCATGTTATAGATGGTTGGTTGATTGGTTGGTTGGTTGGTTGGTTGGCTGGTTGGTTGGTTGATTGGTTGGTTGGTTGGTTGGTTGGTTGGTTGGTTGGTTGGTTGGTTGGTTGGTTGAAAGTTACTTGATGGTTTATTGTTGTAACTATTTAAACACACAACAAACAAACAAACACACATTCAAACACACACAGATACATTCATACATACATACATACATACACAACAACAACAACAACATGCACCGACCATCCGGGCAAACACATTTGAACGATTCGTCAGTCTCCAGACACGTAGCTCCATGGAAGCAGGGGCCCTCGGAGCACCCATCCACCTTGGTCTGGCAGTTCTGCCCCACGTACCCCTTCCTACAGATGCACTCGTACATCCCAACTCCATCCACACATTCCGATCCGTGTTCGCACGGATTGCTGGAGCACTCGTTCATGTTAATCTCGCAGTATATGCCTTCGTAACCTAAAAATTTAATTGCGAGATGGAGGTTGGCAAATAATCTAATTAATTACTTAATTAATCAATAAACCAATCAATCAATTAATTGATGTATTGATTAATTAATTAATTAATATATTAGTTTGTTGATAGAAAATTGACTTTACAAACACAAAAGAAATAGTTAACGCACTTAATAAAGAAATAAAGTCGAACAATCTTTTTAAGCTGATTGTAACGAACTAATTTAAATTGAAGGTGCAATCTTCATAGCTCTACTTGAGGTCAATGTTTCAATTAATGTAAATGTGTGTGAATACATGTGTGTATGTGTGTCTGTGTTTGTGTGTGTGTGTGTGTGTGTGTGTGTGTGTGCGTAAGGGCAAGTGCAAGTATGCTTTTAATTGAAAATATCCAAGCAGGTTGCTGGTGCCATATTAAAGCGAGTGAATTTAAAATTGTGTATAACTGTACTGTGCAATTATATAGTTAAGTATGTGTATGTAAAATGTATGTATGTATGTATGTGCATGTATGTATGCATATGTATAATACACATTCACGTTGAATTTACGGGAATACAAAGTAGCACAAAGTTAAGATAGGAACGGCTAATACTCAAATACCTATAAATACACAAAATCGAAAAAATGTACCCATATAAAACTGACTCAGAAATAAATACATGCGCATAAATTAGGAGTCGCACAAAGATGAAGAGTCAGTAACATGCTGTTTCGGTGGCTGACTTTCCAGAGAATCATGTTGAAGTTGACGCTAGCTAGTTAAGTTAGTCTCAAGTAGGTATTATTGTTTTGTGTTGTGTTGAACTTGTATTATTTGTATATCTGTATGTATATGTGTGTGTGTATGTTTGTATGTATATTTTTATTTATATATATTCTATTTTATAAAATATTGTAAAAATTATAGTCTATTACCAAATTATATATATATATATATTTTTATTTATATATATATATGTGTGTGTGTGTGATTGCGTGTATGGGCGTGTGTTTGTTTGTGTATAAAAAAAGAAAGATAGAGAGAGAAAAAGAGAAAGAGAAAGAGAGAGAAAAAGAGAGAGAAGGAGATATATATATATATATATATATATATATATATATATATGGTGGATACGCTTGAGGTGATGCACCGTGTGTTCTTTTAAGCATAAGGAGGTACACGTGTGAATGTTTGCCTTGACTTGCAAAAAACTGCGCTACCAAATAAAAATTTGATATTTTTTTCCTTCTTTCTCTTTTTTTCTCTCAATCCTTCTTTTTTTCATTTTCTCTCTTTTTCTTTTTGGCTACTCTCTCTCTCTCTCTCTCTCTCTCTTTTTTTTCTCTCTTTTAAAATGGTTGAATACAAATTGAAACACAAAAATGGTTATTAACAACACCGAAAAACTTTCGCACAAAAGACATGAAAACATGCACACATATAAAAACGCGCACGCATATAATACAAACAACAAGCAAACACACGCATACACGCACAAGCACCAACACACATACAAACACACGTACACACATACTAACACACACAAACAAACAATCAGCAGCAAATCGTGGGAGCACATCTGCAACCGTCTTCACATACAATCACACATACACGCCACGTACACACCACACACACACACACACACACACACACACACACACACATGTTTACATACAATAAGATACAATGCCTAATCACACACACACACACACATACACACATACGTACACACACACATATATAAATATACATAAAATTACATAAAATTTTATCAATATCGTTAGCTAGATGGATAGACTGATTGAAGAAATTGGATGAATGAAATGTGTAGCGATTGTTTAATGAATGATTGAATGAATGTAAATGATAGTTGGACGAATGAAGAAACAAATGATATATATATATTATTAGATACATGCAGATACGTAATCTTAAATACATTTCTCTTAACTTATTCAGATCACATGTATTAATTCTCGCTTTCATCATCTAATACACACTACCTTCAACAAATAAACGAACGAACAAACAAACGAACGAACGAACACTAAAGAAAGATATAAACATCAATTAAGCAAACAAGAACCATTGATAAATGATCGACAAATCGAATTAGTCACATCGTTCTAATCTCGTGTGCATGCCCGTGTGGTTATGGCTCCTTTATTGCACCTTTCAAGTATTACCGCCTTGTTAGATTGATGTGCATTTGATAGCTTGTTAGTGATGCTTTGTTTTCTGTTGTTTGTTTTGTTGTCAGTTGTCTGTGTATTGTTTCGTTTTGTTTGTACAATGATTCATCTTGTTTGAATGTTGTATGTTTATCGTTTGAATGTTTGTTTGTTTGTATGTTGTTTGTTTGTATGTTTATTGTTTGTATGTTGATTGTATGCATGCTGGTTGTATGTTGTTTGTTTGTATGTTGTTTGTTTGTATGTTGTTTGTTTGTATGTTTTTTGTTTGTATGTTGATTGTATGTTGTTTTTTTGTATGCTGTTTGTTTGTATGTTGTTTGTATCATCGTTTTCTAAAATGCCGCCATTTAGCTGTGCACAATTTTTACTGCATTTTACTGCAAAACAACAGCTTAGAAAAATTAAACGAAAACCGCGGCAACAAAAACAAACAACAACAAACAACAACAACATAGATGACACACACCACACCACACACTACCACCAAAAAACCACCACCACGCCACAAAATCGCCACAAAATCGCCACAAAATCGCTAGCAACCAACCTTCTAGACAAGCACATTTGAATCTTCCTACACCATCCAGACACACGCCTCCATTCTGGCAGGGGTTTGATTCGCATTCGTTCACATTCACTTCACATCTCTCACCAGCAAAACCTACAATAATTATAATAATAATATTAATTATAATAATAAAAATAATTTTTATTTTATAACTATCAAGAGTAGTTATAGTAGCATTAGCAGTAACAGTAGTAGAAGCGGCAGCAGTAGCAGCAATACGAGTAGTAGTAGTGGTAGGGGTGGTATTAGTAGTAGTGATGGTAGTGATAGTAGCTGCAGTATTTATTATTATTTTTCTTATTATTATTATTCTTATTTTACCTGGAGTGCACTGGCACCTGAAAGATCCAGGTGTATTTATACAGACGCCGTCGTGCTCACACGGGGAGAGGTCACCTGTATGATGGATGGATTGAAGAAAGAAAATGAAAAATTGGATGAGTTGATTTGAATGGTTGTGAAAGTTAATTTAAGAATGAGTAATTGGTGGAACGAATGAATGAATGAGTGAATGAAGGAATGACAGAATGATCGTAAAAATATAAACGGTAAAGTGATTTTAAACAATAGATGAAAGAATAAATAACCAGAAGATTGAAAAAAATTAGTAAAAAACCGTCACCATCATCGTTAGCGCTACCCCTATCATCTTCATCAGCATCATCACCACCACCTTCGTCATCATAATCAACACTATCATCATCATCATCATCATTATCATCATCATTATCATCATCATCACCACAAAAGCTAACTTTGCAAGCACTCATTGGCATCTTGGGTGCAGTCATCTCCCGACCACCCATGCGGGCACATGCAGACGTAATGACCGCTGTCCGGGGAGGTTTCGCACCTGGATTCGGGATGGCACGGATTGCTTAAGCACGGATCGTCCAAGTGGCATCTTATTCCTGTTTAAGTGTGTTTGTGTGTAGGTGTGTGAGCGTGTGTGTATATAGGTGTAGATGTTTAAATTGTTTTATTTTGTTATTATAAATTATACACAATCATTTACTATTGTAGATTATTCTATACATATATGTATACTATGTATATATATATATATATATATATATATATATAAAGAGCTATAAGCATATATATATATATATAAATGTATATATATATATATATATATAAATCTATGGTTATAATAATTTTTTATATAATAAAGAGTAAACCAAATTGATGAACGTGAGAATGCATATGCTCATTAGTGTACACGCCAATAAAATTACCATCATCACCATTATTATTATTATTATTATTATTATTATTATTATTATTATTATTATTATTATTATTACTATTATTATTATTATTATTATTGTTATTATTATTATTATTATTTTTATTATTTTTTAATATTAGTAGTAGTTGTTGTAGTAGTAGTAGTAGTAGTTGTTGTTGTTGTTGTGTTGTAAGTAGCAGCAGTAGTAGTATTAGTTGTAGTGGTAGTAGTAGTAGTTGTTGTTGTTGTAGTAGCAGCTGCAGTTGTAGTTGTTGCAGTAATAGAAATTTTTTTTATCGACTTTTCATTTCATACACTAAAATTACCAATTTTTAGATTTTCTTGAAAGCAAGGTAACGCGATGAAACTTCAACATTGACTTACTTGTGTACAAAAGTATACATTGACATTTATACATCTATAACAAACATATCTGTCTTACATAACACTTATATGGTACATAGAATAAAACAGAATTGTAATATGTAGGATAAAAACAAAGGAATAACATTAAAATACAATTTGCATTAATAAAACATTGTGTATTTTTATTATTTTTATATTTATATTCTATCGAGATCAATTCAATGTTTCCACATCACTTAAACGTAAGTCAAGCGTATGTCTATATTGTTTGTATGCTTTCTAATTGCGATTGTATGTGTGAGTGCGTGCGCGCGCGCGTGTGTGTATTTATTTATGTATGTGTGTATGTATGTGTGTGTGTATAAATGCACGTGCTTGCGTCTGTGTATGTACGTACAGTAAAAATGTAACACTTATACACACACATACCTATATGTATGAACACATATACAGACACACAAACATACGTACATACATAAATACATACGTACATACATACATACATACGTACGTACATAAATACAAACATACATACATACATACATACAAACAAACAAACATACATTATTATTATTATTATTAAATTAACACACGCTAACTACCAGGGGATGAATGGAGATATAGCGTGATTGAATCTCTTACAATAGTTTAGATCACCAAACTTATATAGCAACAATGTTACACACACAGGTACACACACACGCACTGTCACACATAAACACACACACACACACTCATATATATATATATATATATATATATATATATATATATATATATATATATATATATATATATATATATCAAGTACTTATTATCAAATAAATCAAAGACAAACATTCTGTATTCGCATGTTGTATGTAAGGGTCCTAGAGTGTGGAATCAAATTTTGAAAGATGGTTTTTGTTGTGAAAATTTGTCTGCAATCTTTAAAAAAAAATTGAAATTGTTTCTGTTGTTTATTTGAATGACCACTGACCAACCGTGATCCAATATAGATATGGAGAACTATTTTTCAATTTTTATTTGCGCCTTGATCGCCATCGTTTAGTTCACATTTCTGTTTAACTTTTAGAACAATGTAGTTCTATATATTGCTTAAATATATAGATAACTATGCAATGTCTATTCAGTGTTTTTCTGGATAGATATCAAACATTATTCTAAATTAACCAATGAACCATCGTACTAACTAACTTACATTTTGTCATCTATTCATTTTGTTTGAACTTATAATATTTTTGGTTAGGTGGCCATACTAGATGAATTTTATATAAATTCTATTATGGTCATCCTGCTTTCTTTTAATTTTCAATTTTGAGAAGCAAATAAAGTTTCGTTTCGCTTCGTTTTGATTCATATATATATATATATATATACATAATATAAATATCTGTGGTATTATATTTGCTTTGAAACAAACCATTTTTGCTCTAGCTAACAACAATTAATACTACTACTAATTATTATTATTATTATTAATGTTGTCGTTGTTGTTGTCGTTGTTGTTGTTGTCATGATACTATGCTATTTGTACTTACATTAGCTGCGGTACTTTCCAGTACAATGTTAGTGTCACGCGATATGTACACTTGATTAATGCTCCCCATAATGTCAATGTAGCCATAAAGTATAATGCAATTCATCTTTCCTATTGTTGTTGTTGTTGTTGTTGCTGTTGTTGTTATTATTGTTGCTTTTATTATTATTGTTGTAATTATCATTGCTTTTGTTGTTGATGTCGTTGTTTTTTGATGGATGTTGCTTTGTTAAGTTCAATGTAACTGCTGATGCAATTGTTATTAGTGTTACTGTATTTAAAAGTATCAATATTGATGCTATCATAGAGGTTTATACTGATATCTTTATTATTATTGTTGTTATTATTGTTGTTATTGTTGTTGTTATTGTTGTTGTTGTTATTATTATTATCGTCGTCGTCGTCGTTGTATTTTTCCACGTCATTATTTTCCATTGTATCAATTCATTTCTGTGCGACACTACTTCATTTAGCATTTGTTGTTGTCGATGTTGCTGATAATATTGTTATTATTATTATTTGTATTATTGTTGTTATTATTATTATTATTACAATTATTATAATGTAGGATCATTATCGTCATCGTCGTCATACTCATTAACATACTTACTTATAACTGACAAACAAAACAACAACAAAAAACAACAACAGCAATAATAACAACAATATTAATAAGTATTGAAAATTGTGGCAATCGATGATGATGATGATGACGATGACGACGATAATACATTGTTCTTTGATCCAAAGAACTGATAGTAACAAAATAATACACTGTCTACCTTATCTCAATGACATTCAATTACAACAGCGCTTAGGAAAAGTGGCCTTAGAAATATAATAACAATAATATTAAGAAGAAAAAGAATAAGAAGAAGAAGAAGAAGAAGAAGAAGAAGAAGAAGAAGAAAAAGTAGACTAGTAATAATAACAATAACAATAGTAAAAGAAAAAGACGATGAAAAAGAAGTAGAAGAAGGAGAAGAAGACGAAGAAGAAGAAGAAGAAAAAGAAGAAGAAGAAAAAGAAGAAGAACAAGAACAAAAACAAGAACAAGAAGAACAAGAAGAACAAGAAAAAGAAGAAGAAGAAGAAGAAGAAGAAGAAGAAGGAAAAGAAGAAGAAGAAAAAGAAGAAGAAGAATAAGAAGATAAATAACTGACCGGTCTTCCCTGGCGGGCACTCGCAGTAATAGGACCCCACCCTATCGTGGCAGGTCCCTCCGTTGTAACAGACCTTACCCTGGCAGTCGTCGATGTTGGCGCTACAATCGTCACCAGACCATCCATTGACGCATGCACACATGAATCCTCCTTGATGATGATGGTGATGATGATGATGATGATGATGGTGATGATGATGATGGTGGTGATGATGATGATGATTGTGACGATGACGACGATGATGATTATGATGAGAGTGGTGATAATGACGGTGCTGATGGTGATGAAAATTGACCTGATAATGATCTCACCCCTTTTGTTATGGCAGGTTCCTTGGTTCTTGCAAGGATTTTTCTGGCATTCATTAACGTCCTCTGTACAGAATTGGCCTGTGTTTCAAATTATTACTTTTATTATTATTATCATTATTATTATTAGTAGTAGTAGTAGTATTAGTAGTAGTAGTATTAGTAGTAGTAGTAGTAGTTGTTGTTGTTGTAGTAGCATTATTATTATTACTAATATTATTATTATTAATTTTTTTTGAAGTTTTTTCTAAAAATTTTGAATACTCTTAAGGCTGATTCAGTTGTGTTAAGCGACGAAAAACAAATGACATCAAAATCACACGCACATACATACGCACATACACGCACGCACACACACATACACACACAGGTATACATACAAACATACAACTAAAAATTAATCAAAGAATTATTTGTATTCCATCTTATTTCTGTCGCAAAAATAGCGATGGCTAATCAATAGAGTCCAGGGTTCTATATTCCTTGTATTATCGCATGTATTTGTATTGGCTGTGTAAAGAAGTAGTAGTTGTTGTTGCAAAAGTAGTAGTGTAGCAGCAGTGGTAGAGCAGCATCAAACAACAAGAGTAACAACAACACGAAACATAAACATCAACACTGTAATCAATTGTCACTTTTTAGAATAGATGATATCTTTGACAACTTGGAATGTTTTGTATGTAAGTCTGTAAATATATATGTGTGTGTGTGTGTGTTTGTATATATGTTTGTATGCATATATGTTTGTATGTATTTTTGTATGCATGTGTGTATGTATGTATTTGTGTATGTGTGTTTATATCATTGCGTGTGACACGATTTTATTATCTATTCATCTTTTTTGTATTTGCTACTAATGTTTGGATCGGAGTTTTGGTATGTTTGTACGTCGGAATTTTGGTCCATGTTTTTGTTATATATGTTTGTGTGCATGTATGTGTGTTTGTGTACATATATATATGTGTGTGTGTGTGTGTGTGTGTGTATTTATTTATGCTTGTATGTGTGTATGTATGTATGTATTATTATAAGAATGTATGAATATAAAAAATGGATGTCTTGTATTTTCATACAAGCCTTGTGAAGTTTTTGTATTTTGAATGGTAGTATTATTTACGGTTGCATCTTATGCCGGCGTGACGTTTATCAACAAAAAAATCTTTCCAATGGTTGTTTTTTGTTGTTTCAACTTTGTCGTAAATGTTGTTTTTATTTTTGTTGTGTTTATTCAGGTTTGTATTAAAATGTTTTTTGGTGTGTTTTTTACACGTTGTTGTTTTTTTTCGATGATTTGAATGTTATTATTATTGCTATGCTATGGTGGGGTGGTTGGTGATGATGTTGATGTTATTATTATTAATGTTGTTGTTTTTGTTGTTAATAATAATAATGCCATTAAAGTTGTTGTTGTTGGTGGTGTTGATGTTGTTGTTGTTGTTGATGATGTTGTTATTGTTGACGTTGTTGTTAAGGACGAACGAACCAAACTAAGAAATAGCAGAAACAACGAGTGTATGAAACAAATCAATCAGTATAATAATATGACTCAATATATTGATGGGGGTTATGGTGGTGATGACGTTGTTGTTGTTGATGATAATGATGATGATGATGACGTTGTTGTTGTTGTTGTTGATGATGATGATGATGATGATGATGATGGTGATGATGGTGATGACGATAATTTGCTGACGGCGACGATGAAGTATTGCCAGTTTTAAATATCCGTAAAAAGCCCAGAAAAAAATTTAAAGTTATCAACTACCTCAATTACACCATCAACAATTACATCATCAACAACAACAACAACAGCAGCGAAAACATCAACAACATCAACCCTAACCCTAACCTTTATACTGGGGTGGGCAGAGGCAAGTGTAGCCATGGACCCCATCGAGACAGGTCGAATTGGGGCCGCATTTGTTTCCCTGACAGTCATCTATGTTTTCTTTGCAGTTCGGGCCCGTAAAACCTGAAATATGTATGTATGTAGTGAAAAAGTAAAAAAGATAGAGAAAGAAAGAAAGAAAAAAGAGAGAAAGAGATAAAAAGAGAGAGAGAAAGAGAGAAAGAGAAAGAGAGAAGGTACTGACCTTCTAAACATGCGCAGATGAATGTGGTAAGAGAAGTTGGCGAACATGTGCCCCCATTGAAACATGGAGAGGGAGAGCAGGGATAGTAGGGGGATTCACAGTGCTGACCAGTGTACGAGGCCAGACATGTACACCTAATGGTGAAGATGACGATGATGATGATGAGGATGATGATGATGAGGATGATGATGATGACCTATCAATTATCCACTCATTAATCAGTCAGTCAACCGAACAGCAAACCAGCCAATCAAACAGCCGAATACTTCCTCTCTCTCACTCTCTCACACGCACTCACTTATATCCGCCAATAAGATTCAAGCAGGTCCCTCCATTCCGGCACATCTCTCTTTTTTGCAGACACTCATCTACGTCATCATCACACTGCAAACCAATGAAACCTCTGGGACACTCGCACGTGTATGACGTCTCAGTGGCGTAACATTTCCCGCCATTGTGACACGGCTGAGACGAACAATGATTGCGGTACTGACAGAGCTTGCCTTGTTTGGATGTAGTTTGTATTTTGATGATTTATATAGCGCTTTTTATGAAAAAAAAACCTCAGAGTATAGGAGTAAAAAACAAATTCATTTTTAATCATCAACATCGTCGTCATCGTCGTCGTCATCATCTCATTGTTTCGATATTTTCTCTCACTCATTCAACCAATTCATCATCAAATACGACATCAACATTATCAACAACAGTAACAACAACAACAACGAGAAAAAAAACCTATGTAGCCAGGCGAGCAACTGCACTTGAACTTATGCAGCGCTCCATTAAGGCTGCAACTTCCAGCATTGTGGCAAGGGTTTCTGTAGCAGGCACTCTTCGCATTTTCGATTTCACACATGGTACCGTGATAGCCTGTATTTGTGTGTGCGTGTGTGTGTGCGTGTGTGTGTGTTTGTGTGTGTGTGTCTGTGTGTTTGTCTGTGTGCGTGTGTGGGTGTACTATTAATCATCCTATCATTTGATACAAACCTAGCGGACAATCGCATTTAGCTTGAATAGAAGATGATGACGACAACGATGAAGATGATGATGATGATGAAGATGATGATGATGATGGACTGATGATGATGCTCCGACAGGTCCCACCGTTCAAACATCTAGCCAGGGACGGGTGGCATGGGTTCTCGTGCTCGCAATGATCACCTCTGTACTCATCCGTGCAACTGAGTGAGTGAGTGAGTGAGTGAGTGAGTGAGTGAATGAGTGAGTGAGTGAGTGAGTGAGTGAGTGAGTGAGTGAGTGAGTGAGTGAGTGAGTGAGTGAGTGAGTGAGTGAGTGAGTGAGTGAGTGAGTGAGTGAGTGAGTGAGTGAGTGAGTGAGTGAGTGAGTGAGTGAGTGAGTGAGTGAGTGAGTGAGTGAGTGAGTGAGTGAGTGAGTGAGTGAGTGAGTGAGTGAGTGAGTGAGTGAGTGAGTGAGTGAGTGAGTGAGTGAGTGAGTGAGTGAGTGAGTGAGTGAGTGAGTGAATGAGTGAGTGAGTGAGTGAG